ATTGTATATACATAATATATTACAATCATTTTTAAACTGTATTTTCATTTATTAATTTTCTAAGTTTAAAAATTAAACAATTATTTGTATACCTTCCATATAATTGTATAAATTTAATTTTTATTTAAAAAAAAAACTTATTGCGACCCAATTTTAAAACATACATGATCCAAAAATGGGTTGCAACTCACCTGTTGTAGACCACTGTGGTAATCTATACATTAAAAAGAATGTAATTACATATTTTTCTGTTTTTAGTAGGTATCTTTTCAACTAAACTAAGTTAAACATTCCAAATTCCAGTTTATTTTATTGATTTTTTTTTTGTAATAACCAGCTAAACCTTAAAATAAGTTGGGAATTTTGAGTTACTTGTCATGTTAGGTGGATTTAAAATTTAATGTTTAAAGGTACTTTCTTTTTTTTATTTTGATATATTATACTATTACTTGGCACATAATCCAACATTCAATTAAATTAAATATTGAAGTATAATTATTTAATAACACACACGTTATGCATAAAAATATATAAATCAAATTAAAATCACTGTAATATTAATTGTATAGACTATCATCAATAACTAAAATAGTAAATAATGAACACAAATATTTTATTATTCATTGTTTTTCTATAAATAAACAAAAAAATATTGAAATATCTACAATTAGTATGAATTATCTTCCACATCACTACCAATTACATTTACCTTTAGTGGCTGTAATTCATTTTGATTGAGTGAATTCATATCCATATGTGAAATAATGATGTTATTTTTTTGTTGGTTGCCAACATTAACATTGAGCATATTATTCAATTGATATTCAGAAACAGCCTATCATGATATACAAAATAACTATTAATTTTATCATAAATCAATTTTGTTTTAATCATAAGTAAACAATATTAACAAATTTAAATATTTATACCTTTGAATGACCTCTAACAATAGGTTCTACTTATATACAAATTGTATAATTAATTTAAGATATAATAAGTACCTGATAATGCAAATTTCGGAAATTTGTTAGCTGTTCTTTTAATAATCTGTTTTGTAATAGTAAAGTGTTATTAGTATATTTCAATTTAGACACTTGTTCATCATCATACTTAAATGAAAAAAGTAGGTTGTTAAAATTTGAAATTTTGTTAATATTAAACTGAAATACCAACTTGCAAATTGTGGACTACTTTAGATAATATTGGGTTTTGTGAAATTTGTTTTTCAAGACCAACAATTTTCTGTTGAAGTAATAAATTATGAGTTTCCACTGTATCTAGAGAATGCTTATCTAAAATTTAATAAAATTATTAATTTTACAAAATAAAACAACTGTTATAGTATACAAAAAATAAATTGGTACATTTGTTTTATTAAAACCTTATAGTTATTTTCTTAGATTATGAGTGTAGCAAAGAAACTTAATTTTATCCATATTTCAATTTTTACACATAAACAAATATTATTTTATAACTACAAATATATACATACTTATAAATGGGTGCTGTGCATTTTCAAGACTATTACCGAAGGAAGCCTTTAATATTAAATTTTCCTAAAATAATTTATTATTATTGGTTAAATGATCAAATATTAAATTAGGTAAACACTATTATTAAAATACCTTCTTCGTGTCCTCTAATTCATTTTTCAGTAAATTGATGTTATCTACAACTAAACAAAATAATATCTATTAATAAATATATTATGTACCGATACCTATTAGTTTATGAATTAAATTAAAATCTTTACAAAAAAATGAAATTTATTCAAGTAATTATTTTAAATCTACAGATAAACCCTGTAAATAAATCATCTTTTTAAAAATAATATGATAATTAAATGTAAAAATCATTAAATGTCCAACATTGAATACAGTATTATTTATTTTAAATCTATAATGAATGAAGTTTTACCATTTTCAAGTATTTCTTGTTGTTTATCATTTAGTTTTACTAATCTTCCTATAGATTCCATCAACAATTTATTAGCACTGCTAAGTGTTTTATTGTCTTTTTCCAAAATGATTTCTTTCTGTTCAAGATGTTTAATGGCTTCACTCATACTGATAAAGAACTTTGAAAAATAATTTAAACAACATACAAAAAAAGGAACAATTATACAAAATTGTACAAAAACAATTGATAAAACACCAACTGCAAACAGTAGACAAGTGCATGTATTAATATTTTTGTAAAAAGACATAAAATAATGGTATAATCAATATCAGTTACTTCAATTTTATTTTTTTTTTAATTATCTACCTACCAATATTTAATTGTTAAAATTGTCCATAATAAATTAAATTTTTTTTTTTTTTTTTTTGTTTGCCAATGTTATAATTTATCTCAATGTATTGATGCATTGACAATTACATTTGTTCTAATACTGGGAAATATAAAAATAATAAAATTCTGTTTTTAAACAATATTGTGTGGCAAATACTTATTATAATGATATAGATATTCAACCAAAACTAAATTATTATAGAATAATTTGATATGTAAATATGATTTAATAAAAAATCCAATAGATTGTGGACTTTATTGTATAGTTCCAAGTGTTGAGTGGTAGGGTAGATACAAACATAAAACAGAGAATCAGCACAGTAGATGAGAATGCTTAGATGGATGAGTGGAGTGACTAGAGAATATAAGTAAAGAATTAGTGCATAAGACGTAGCTTAGGTGTGGGGTGTGGCTGCAATAGTAGACAAAACGAGATAAAATATACTGACATGGTTTGGATATATTTTGAGGAAACACAAAGCAGAAACAGTAATAATTATATTGAAAATAGACATAGGAGGAAAGAGAGAAAGAGAAGACCGAAAAAGAGGTGGTTGGGTGTAATTGAGAATGATAAGGATGGCTTGTGTATACAAAGACAATGTGGGGGATAGATTAAGTGGAAGTTTAGAACAACAGTGCCCAACCCCAAATAGTTGGGATGAAAGTGAAGGAGTAGAAGAATTGTGTTCTTTCTCTTATGGCCATGACCCAGATTAATCAACAAAAATAAAACCATTAAACAAAGTTCAAAATATCAGCATCTGTTGAGATACTGCATGAAAAAATTTGAGTATTTGCCTAACCAAAAACTGATTAAAAAACAAAAGAAATAAATACTGTGCATTTCAAAATAATTTTCAATTAAAGTACCATCAAGTAGCAAAAAAATTGTAGCATTTTTACTAACAATAAAATTGTGTTTATCTAAATACATTTTATTTCCTTCAATGAGACTAATAGTAAATAATTATGGCTGATAAAATATAAATTAAAATATACTTTAGTAACTAATAATAATACAAATTTGTTTGTGGCATTCATCACAAAATTTCGAAGGTATAGTAAATAAGATAATTTAGTTTGAAATCGACAATAAATCATTACAATTAAAAATGACTTAGTAAAGCTCAGCAATCTGGTAAGAAGTGTTCCTGTATGATCAAGATAGGTAACTCAAAAATAAACAAAAGTAAGCCATTATAGATTATCTAATGGGAATCTAGAAAAATATTTTATGTAAAGTACCGCAGGTTAATAAATTCACATATTTGAATGTACAATATTAAAAACTTGTTGTATTATTATTAACAAAGTATTTTCTAGGGAAAAAAATCATACTAGATTAAAAATTCTAAAACACATAACAATAAATCTGGTACCTAGGTACTTCTAGTTTTTTAAAAAAAATACACCAAAATACCTCCTCCTTTTTTGTGCAGCTGGGCTTATGTACTACATTACTACATACTGTAACGACATTAATTATACTGTGTAAACAATAGTATCAAAACGGTTGGTGAATAATTTATAAATTAATAATTATAACAATAATATAATAATTTATAAATCCAGTTGAAGATTCATAATAAATTAGTATTTTATTAAGAGTATGTTATACCCATATCTACTGTCTCGGTCAAAAAAGACAGCAAAACAATTTTCGCTATAGTGCGGAAAATATCTTACGACGCAACAGTGGACGTACAATCATTAAATAAAATAAAAAGAGATAATTACATTTTTCAGGGTTACAAAATTGTCTTCAATTTCTTGTGGTTCGTACATGATACTATTATTGTAGCGACCGTTAAACACCCGTGAAACCGGTATGTAGGTAAATAATATTTTATTTATTATAGTGAAGTACAAGTACAAAACCTTGTACGATTCTACGTTCAGTCGGATAGAGCCGATAGAGTACTTGTACTTAACCTCTTTTCTGGGGTAGGTACCAGGTACCATGATAGAAATAATTAAAATTATTTCTCATTATCATGTACGAAACTTACCACAGAATCTATTCCGTGCTATCACCGTTTTCTATAAATGTAGAAGAGGCCAGAGCAGGCAACTGATATCGCCCGAAAAATTACTCTGTACAGTCGAATCATGAATCACGTAAAACCAGTGGCGGTGTGATATTCTTTGAAGCAGATGCTTCATGTAAAAATCGGGGTGAGTACCTTATACTTTAGGGAGCGCGTAAAATATCCGAACAATATTTTATCAGAAATGAGTACGATCAAAAACATATTTTATGCATATTTCGTCAGAAAAGTATTTTGCCGAAAAATATATCGTCCGAACGTATTTTACTTGAAAATATTTCATTCGAACAATAATTAGTCGAAAATATATTGTCTGAAAAATATATTATCCGAACTGTATTATGTCCAAAAAATAATTAAGTCGAAAATATTTTATCCGAACCATATTTTAGACGACAATATTCGTTCTTATCACAAAAACAGTGTGTTAGAAAGAGATATGGAATTCTCGTTATTGTGGTAAGATAACGAATATTTTCAATCACGAATTAAGATATATCTTAATTCGTGTTTTCGACCGATTTATTTTTCGATTAAATTGCGTAAATATTTTTCGTATTTATTACTTTTTGGATAAAATATATTTCTATTGAAATATTTTTGGGATACTATATTTTCGGACTCTTAAAAATGATGAGAAAAACAAAAAATAATATCTCACAGTAACCGAAAAAATGTAAATTATTCCAAATAATAATTTAATATCACTCTGATTTACAATGATAGCACTTTTTCTGAAAGTAAATCCGACCGGGAAGGTACTTTAAGGATGTAATTTTTCGATTTTTCCAAGAGTTTTCTAAGTAGATTTGATGATACTGGAAAAACAGGAAAATAGGTACGATATTAAACAAATATTATTAAAGAAAATATATAATGCCTATTTAATTATTTTACCATAATATGATATATATATTGTTGACAAATCATTACCATCAACTGAACTGCCCTCGTTTTTTCGTTAGCAATGGTTAATCGTTGCTTACAGATACCTTAAATTACCTATGCCAGTGGTTGCATCTATTTCCATTATCCTAGGACATCTTATTTTAATGGTACTTAAATTAAAAGTATTTCTTTGGATTATATTATAGCTATTATTGAGCTCGTGTTGATAATTATACTTATTTAATGGAATACGGTTCAAGCCTATAGAATATTGAATTAAAAAATTATTTTTTTTTTAGAATAAGGGTGATTAGAATCATATGGTATTATATAATCTGTTTGTGTAGGTTTCTTGTAAATACTAAAATAAATTGAATTGTTTATTATGGAAACTGTAAGATCTAAGAAATTTCATTAATTATTTGTATTGCGAGTGTAAATTGAATATTTTTAATTATTTTGTTTAAGTAGTTAACTGAATTTTCTGCTTGTCTATTTGAACCTCTAAATAAATTGAACATGTCATCAACATATCTATAATATTCTTTTATATATGGATTATATATTTTGTTGTTAATAATATTATTGGTTTCATAATTTTGCATGTAAATTTCAGATAAAAGAACATTTAAAGGGATATTCATAGCTTACTCATCTTTTTTTGAATACAATTTGTTGTTATATTGGAAATAGTTTTGATTAATAATTACATTCATTGATTAAATAATTTATTGTACTTTGTATTCAATTTATTACAATATATAAGTTTATTTTAAAAAAAAAATTACTGTTTTGTGTTGAATGGAAGTACATACATTTTTAACATCAAGAGAAATCATTTTATAATCTAGCATAATATTAATTTTATTAATATTATCAATAAAATCAAGTATTTTTTATAGGAGTTTCAATATTAATGTTTAATTTTTCTTTTATGAGAGAGTCTAAATAATTAGCAAGGTTATGTAAGCTAGAGCAGTTTTTAAATTAAGTAATGGACAAAATTGGATTATCTTGTTTATGTAATTTTATGAATGGATGTAAGTGTGGAGCCTTTATTTTGTAATTCGATTTCAATAATATTTTCTTTTGAACTTATGGTATGATTTCTTTTGAATTTGTTATCAGTTTATTAATTAATTTATTACATTTTTTTATTATTTAGTTATTCTTTTATTTATTTCAGATTTAAACTTAACCATTATTTTTATACTACAATGTGGGGTTAAATCAAATTATTTTTGTCTTGGTATCTTGTGCTAATGGTCCCAGATTATAAATGGCCTGTATAAATTGGTTATGAGTTGAAAATTCTAAAAAATTAAACAATTAATATGTGTTATTATCAACTGTTATCTAATTTGCACAATAATCAAATATATTATTGTATACAATCTAATGAGCTTTTCTAAGGTTTTATAAGTATTCTCAATTCGGAATGTCTACCTTAGTACCATACTGTGTAATGTGTTTTCTATTATATGAAGTTAACTAAACTTGAGTTGTATTATTAATTTAATTTCGCTGGGGAAGTATTATGAAAACAAATCCTTCACTGTCAAATATGAAAAAAAAAGTATTATAACAATATTAATTAATAGTAATTTAATAATTTGTACTATTTTAAGTCCAAGAACATTTTGTAAAAAATTGGATTAAAATTTAATCATTAGTTCAAAATTTAAATAATTTTGTTATTTATTAGGGCAATATTTTTTGAACATGAAAGTAGTGTAACTTTTAATTAATTTAATTACAAGTCAAATAACAATTATTTTTATGTTTTTGTATTACTGAATTTTACTATTGATATATATTTAGTTAAATTTGAAGGATTCATAAATATTTATACAAATTAAGTGTAGTAAATACTACCTATATTTAAGATTTTAAAAACTTATCTTGATACATTCTTCAAAATAATTTTATACTATAAATGTTAAAAGGGGACTTTTACATGTTTTAAATTTTACAGGGGAAGCAAAAAATCACCTAGGTTACTGGAAAATATATTATTTATATTTATTCTAGTGATAGTTGATTATGCCTAGAGTAACCTATAGTTAAGTATTTAAAATCAATTTAATTTAACACACATAATTTTTTGTACTCCATAAGTATTTTCTTAGATTTAATATCATGAATTCCAAAGGTGCTAAACGTAAGTTGTCTGAAATAATATAAATCTTGCACAGATATTATAGGTAAAGATGCATTAGCCATGAAATCGTTGCAAATCATTTACATGAACTTTCGTATTTTGTGAACTTATAAGTTAAACAAAAATATTATATGGAGTCGAAGAATTTATGTAGAACCAGAACTTCTATAAAAGAAGTTACACTTAAACATTAAATGAAAATTTTATCATTCATTAAAATAACGTTGTTTTTATCGCTAAAAATCTCATTTCAACATCAAATGGCCCTACCTATAGTATCTATAAAAATACACACAGATATTTTGGAAATTTTCAATTTATTTATCTGTAATAATTTTGTTATAATATATAGATATTAATCTGGTTATCGATAATTATTTGACATAATTTAATATAGGTATGATTTTTTGATTTTTTCTTTTTAATATTTGTAACTAAAAGTCAGATAAATTATTTATTTCAATATTGTTTATTGAATATTAATTAAAACTCCTGGTAATAATAATATTTATAATTTAGAAATTATTAAATAAATAATAGATATGATACTGGGGATGGGAGCAGCCACTGTTGTAGGTAAGTAGTTAGGTAGGTAGGATACATAAGGTTATTTCATTTATATTTGTAAGCAATGATAGACCATTGCTTGACGAAAAACGATTCCTAGCGCAGTACGGTAATACATAATTTGAAGTGTCGTAATTTTTTTTGCGATTTTCGTTTAAATTTGATTTCAAAACGCTTATTAAAAAAAAAGTCATCCAATGATTTTTGAAATTTTACCACGTCAAGCTAAGCCAATATAAGTATTATTACCAAGTTTCAAGTCTCTATGTGTATTTATAACCGAATTACAGCAAAAAACTCCCAAAAATTTAAATTCCTTAAAAGCTCAAAAATGGCTCACAAGTTTTACAGTTGTATTGAATAATATGACACACATAGATACTAAAATACGTTTTGACCAACTTTTAAATTTTGTTTCATTTCATCCATATTACTAAGGTAGTCCAAATAAATAAATAATAACATCTAAAAACCAAATTTTGGGTGATGACTTTCAATAAGGGATGGACCTCAATAGTTATAAACCTTCCCTAAGACTTGTCTGATCCATTAGTGTAAACCACATCGAAATCCATTTAGCTGTAAAAAAAACTTTTAAAAAACTTATACTAATATTTTAAACATCTTTTTTCATTTTTATCATTTAAAGGAAACTTAAATGTTGGGAATGGTATCCATACATTTTTAAGTGCCTAAATACTAAAAGACAAAATTTATGTACACTAGGTAGTAAAAATTGATTTTTTTTTTTTTCTGAAATAGAGTATATTTCTAATAAATTTATCAACATAGAGCAATCTACAGTTCACAAATAAGCTTAGATCGTTTACATGCATACTTTTAGTCCTAAAAATATTTAAGCAATTGAGCATGTGTATTAATATAAAAGTTTTATTATAGCATAGCTAAAAACTGCACAACTTTAAATACTATTGTTTATTATAATGTATTAATATGCTGATGGGTCGCGTTTATAACATATATATATTGGAATATAATGGACTGAAATATTATGATAATTCATTGATGCTTTTTTTTTTCTACAACATTTATGCATTATCCATAGATAATTACTATAACTATAGTATTTACTAAACATATTTTATATGCATAATAATAGTTAACATGACTAAAAATTAAAACCAATTATGCTCTGCCTTTTTTTTTTTCGAAGAAAACCGAAACTACCATGAAACTTCAAACAAATAGATAAAAAAAAAAGTTCATAGGGGGATATGACACTCTCATCCCCCCGTGAGTACGCTCCTGCTGCTCATGTTCTGTCATCTTATCACTCCGCCATAACAAACTCTTTGATAAGATTACCTTCCATTTCCATTGTTTGTGACAAGACCCGCTTGAACGCCAAAAGCTTACCACCACGTGCTCAACTGCTACACTCAAGCCGGTAAAAGGGACCTTATTATAACCTACCGAAATGATGTCCCACGTGTACAAAAATTGAGATCAAAAAACTTCACTGCCTCCAACAGTCTTCAAGCAGATTAAATCGTACCAGCTCTGTTAAGACATTTGGATTTCACCAAAACTACCGTGGACTCCGTAGAAAAATTCGTACCTTTAATTGTAATACAGCCCAGTTCATCCATGTATTTATTGTTCTCACCGAAACTTGGTTAAATAATAATTTCTTTTTTAACGAGTTAGGCCTATCCATCTATAATATTTTTAGGTGTGACAGGTCTCCCTCAACAGTCATTGTGAACGTGGTGGTGGTGTGCTTATTGGTATTCGCAAAGATATTCCATCGTCTATCCTCTCCATTCCTGACTCATCTGTTGAGCACCTGCTTATCCCGTTCACACTAGACTCGTTTTCTTTTATTCTCCACACTGTCATCTTTCCTCCTCTAGCTCTTCAAATCATATATGTCTCACCTTACTACACTTGATTCTCTTATTCAAAAACATCCATTTGCAATTTTTATCTTCTATGCTAATTATAATCTTCCATCTATTTCATCGTCTAATAATGCATACGTCTTTGCTATTCCTTATTTTCCTTTTCCCAACAGTACTGCGTCTCTGAGTACTTCTGTTTCCATGGTTTCTTTCAGCTTAATAATATCTTTAACTGTCACAGTTCACTCCTCAACTTGGTTCTTACTAATTCAAACTTACTTACTATTTGTCCTGCTCTTAAGTTCACCGTTCCAGCTGATCCGTATCACACCCCTCCTACTCTTAATTTCTTTTAAATAGATCCTAACTCCACCTGCCCTCCTTTTGATTTTGATTTTTTGACTTTTATAAATCAGATTATTAATCAATCGCATTTTTCCTCGACTTTTTTAACTGGAGAAAAAACATTTCTTATTTATTCTGCTAATGATGCAATTGCTATCTTCCTAGACGCTATTCATTCCTCAATTCTTTTTTATTTTTCCAAAATTACAATTCATAAACCATCTTTCCTTAGCTGGTTCTCCCACGAGCTCAAAGTCCTCATACACGAAAAAAATCAGGTTCACGCAAAGTATAAGAGGTCCGGCTCCTTATCTCATTATTAGAGCCTAGAATTGTATGAATTAAAAATTATCAAATATATATATAAAAAGTTGCTAAATACGCATTTATATGCGTATACCAAGTATAATAAAATATGTTTAAAAAAATAAAATACCATTTTTACACCAAGAATAGTAATAATTTATTATTTGAAATAACATATCTTAAAACCTAACAATAAACTTTTAAAATAATAAAACTAAAATCATATGCTTTTTACCACACAAGATTTTAAAATATAACGATACATTACACACGACAAGAATGACAAACGAATACATTAGGGTGGTCCTTAGACTATAGATGAAGAAATTTTTTTTTCAATTTCTGATTGGGCTGTCACTGAAATTTGTTCAAACCCACAAAAAAATGTATTTTGTAAAGTTTCGTAATAATCGGTAAACCTTAAGGCGTGCCTCAAAAGGGTTGAAGTTCAAATAAGGGTGATTTTTAGATTTTTGTAATTTTAGTCTAAAATTTTTAAGACAGACTAAAAAGTGTAAGAACAATATATTTTTTAAATTGTTTATCCTACAAAAAATGTTATTTGTACATTTTTCATTTAACAACTCATTCATCTACAAAATAACAAAAACTAATTTTCAGTATATTTTACATAGTAATAGCTTGTACAATATAATATACTTTGTACTAAGAAAATTTACAACATAATTGCATAAACAACTTTATAGTAGCTATTAAATAGTCCACTAATAACATGGTTAAAACGCATGCTTCATACAAATGGAAAGCTGTGCAATATTAACTATATATGTTCTAACATGTCTGCCTAAACTAGCGCAGACATGATACCTACTCACGTTTTTGCGACGTTAACTAGGTATTGTGACAACACGTAGTCTTCAAATGTTAAACATGTCTTTACAGGTTTATTATTCACTCGGTTTTAGACGTATTATTTATTGTTTATATTAATTCGAACATTGTCGTCACAGCTCAGTTTATAATTGTCCACACACCATCGACGAATAGACTTTTTGATTTTAAAAATGGACAGTAAAATCAATATATTGATAGAAAAAGGTATTGAAGACATTAATATTTGTACGGCTTTATCACACGCAAAAAATGATGTACTTCAGTTTGTTCTCGACCATTCAAAAAAAGAACAATTTCGTGAAGATTACAGGGAACTATTAAAACTTACGATTATTTTTCTCGGAGGAACTCCACATCGAGGAGTATTCGACGTGATTTTGCACAACAAATCGAGGGTTAATTTCGAATAAAACTGTCCGAGTGAGCGCAGCAAAATATGGCGCGTTTGAACGTCTGTAATTCTAAAACTAAGAGAGATAGACTTATTCTGACTTCAATAAAAAAAACTTATTTTAATTAACATTGAGCATTAAGTAATGAGAGCTATGGACTTGATATATCTATATAAGTATATATTATATAACTGTACTCCGTAGTACAGAAATCAATGTTTAGCGGTTAACAGATGATATGAGGTAGCAGTGCTATCACCTTTATAGGTATATTCTACCGAAAAACGGTTCTAACAAAATATTTTTCTATCAAAATATTTTCGTACTTAATATTATTCTAATTATATATTTTCGACCAAAATATTTGTACTAATACTGTTCGGATAAGATATTTTTCTTCTAAAATACGGTTCGATGTGAATATTTTTCGGATTATTTATTTTTACAGTTTTATTTTCCTGATATTTTATTAAAAATATTAGAATGATAAAATATGATTCTAACAAAATATGTTCGTGCTTTATACACGTCCCCCCTGTAATAAACGCTTAAATCAAATTTGTTGGGCATTTTTATAAAAACCCTTATCTAATGCTGAATACACTTATGGTACCACATGGTTGGTAACCTCGTCTCAATGACTCATCTGGTGGGTGGTGACTATCATCATGATGACATGATGCTGAGACTCCATTTTGTTGAATTTATCAAAAAAACGTGTTATTACCGTCGTCTTATAGTAGTGTTTTATGGCTCGTGAAGTTGATGTTCTTTTTTTCTAATATTTACTTATTGAATCGTGCATTTCTTAGCATAACCTTACATTATTATTCATTTCAAGTATATTAAAACTTTAAAATTAATCAAATCTCAGGTAAATTATTTTAATTAAACTTATTTCTATTAAGTGCATGCACCTTTGTTACTATTCTTACTTACTTGACCTCTTCAAGTTAGTCAGTGTATTATTTTCCTTTTTGAATTCAGCAGCTGATTAGGGAGCAGTTTAATTTACTGATCAGACTAAATTCCCCAACTCGAACCACTCATACCATGACCATAATACAATTAGGAGGACAAATCTATAGATACCTATCCCATTAAATGTTATATACAAAATCTAATCTCACATTCTTATTACTTCCCTTCGGGAGAGTACAATTTAATATAGGAAATATCGATTTGTATTCCAACCAAGATAGAATTTGGAGGACATATCTGTAGGTATCTTATCGCGTACAATAGTAATTTATACTTATTGAATAGGCAATTAATAATAATATTATTTTTATATTATGCACATAATAAATGTGTACCTGCACTCATTGATACCTACAGCCAGGCTTGATATTTCGGGAATGGTAGTATGCCACTAATAAATGGTAAATATACAATTTAAAACAGTCATTGTTTTCAAATATATATTTCTATAGTAAAAATATAGTTTGAATATAATACTAATAAAATGTTCTTATTAATGTATACTTACATATTTTTCTATAATCATTTTATTTGTTTAAATTTACGAGTTATTTTTGTCTATAGCTATTTAAAGCTATTTAATTATGGTTTTATTATGGTTCAATGCTCTAGTGCTTTGATAAAATCTAACCTTACCAAATTGTAAATAAACCTAAATTTAAAATAAATGTTTGTGTACCTATTATTTGATGGATATACAAAATATATACCAATTGATTCATAAAGAATAAGTTCGAAATTAAATACGACAATAGTTTGATCTTAATCTATTCGTAAACCTCAATAGTTCACATGAAAATATTATAATATACCTGTATTATAATATAGGTATTAGTATTGAAAGAAATTTCTTAATATGTCCATGATCAGTAAATATATTTTTTTATTTTTTTATTAGTAGCCGGAAACTATGCAACAGTTATAGCTACACGAAACTAGGGAAATAATAATATAGTAATATACCATAGTAAATAAATAAATTTATAAATAATTGGCTCAAGTTCTTATTATAATCTTAATACATTTATAATTATCAGTATAAAAATGTAATTTTTTGACATTCATGAATTATACTACTAATTCCCTACCTATGTGAAATATAATTATAATTTTATAAAAAAGGAATGAATAACATTTTTTTTTATATGGTTATTAAGCTTAATAATCTGAGTATTAATATTATTTTAGTACCTACCTATATTATATGTTAGGTAACAATTGAAATAAATGTATTACAATATTACATTATATACAAATTTGAGTTATAAATTTATTAAATAAAAGTATATACAATCAATAAAACATACAAATTATTATTATTTTGTTTGGTTTTTATACTATTTAAATGATACTTGCAGTGTTATCCAATTCTGCATTAAGTATATACCTAGTCAACATACGATTACACGATTTTGAGTTATGTAGCAACAAACCATTGCAATTCTCATTGCAATTAATTGATATTTCCTATAATTTTTTTGAAATCTTTATACATTAGCTTTGCATCTATCATTCTATTTTTGGATGCATATATGAGATTTCGAAAGTAAAGTTCCTGTAAAATCCCGTAAGGCTATGCTACAGAATGTGAATAATTTATTGTTTGTTGTTGGTTCATTTATCAATACTTACTGACTACTGCCTACTGACTATACATGAGTATTGTTTCATAATGTATAAAAATCGAGTTTACTAATTTTCAAATTAATAATACTTATAGTACATAAATATTTAAATAAACAATACATTTATCAATGAATCAGTCGCATTTTACATTTTGACTGTGATATACCTGATAATGAATTTTTAATTCAAAACCAGTCATGTAATACACTTATCATAATACTCCAAGCCATTCATTAATTATTGTATTATTATTTATTTATTTATTTACGAGTATTAACCATTAAAATAATTTTGTTTTTGCTTTATTTTATTAAAAATACTTATATACATTCATATAAGTTATCATTATTGTGGATGATCAATTTTTGTATAACTAGGTACCTAATATTATATTAAACTTGTATTGTTATTTTTTATGAAAATGTTTAATGTAGGTATTTTTTTTTCCTGTAGAAAACCAATATGGCCAAGAAGAAAGGCTCTAAAAGGTAACCTTTTAATTAATATTAACTTAAACTTACTAATAAGTAATTATCTACTCTATAAAACTATTACATTTCAAATTTATTATGATTTATAGTTTTCTTTGAATCAAGTCTATATCTATATTTGATTTTATAAAATATTGATTCCTGTGTAGTGAAATAAATTATATATTTATATTTAATTTCAGAACCATTTTTAAACCATTTGAGGAGAAGAATATACCACATATCACCCATGAAAGGTTTGTAAATTACCATTTTTATATTGTTTTTGTTTGAAGAATGCCATATAAACTATTGGATCCTAAATAAAATAAAATTAAAAAAAATCTATACCTCTCTTAATATAAAATATTTTATGCTTTTTATTATTTTGACATTTTTTGTAGTAATTGCTTGAAACATAAATATATAAATGGCTGTTCTTTATTTTAAAGTTGAAAAGTATTTCAAAAAATTAATTTAGATAACATACAATTAAGTGAAAAATTGTATTTTATTTTTTTATTAAGTTTCTATGAATGATTTAGATGTATCTACAGTCTACAATACTCTGAATATTTTTAAATTATTATTATTATTTATTTAGTTAAATAAAAGTATTTTTAGAATATTTTAATTCATTGTGTTTGGAATTACCTTATCTTGTATAGTTTGTTCAATAAATCTGTGTGTCTATATATAGGAATGATTCAAAAACTTCAAATGATTACATTGTGAATGAAACAATAAAGAAAGAGTAGGTAATACTTAACAAAATTAATAATGAATATTTTTTCTTATCGGGTAATAGTTTCATTATCTTCTTTTTTTTTTTTTTTGGAAAGAAAGACCATGGACTATTGGGTTCATAAATGATTTAATTGTATATAGACATTAATTACATTACATTACTTATGTTCATTTATTCTTATTGTATAGTAGGTTTTTAGATTCTGATTTGGAGTTTAGCAGCTTTGATGCATTTGATGGTGTTGAGTGTTAATTGGGGATGATTGTCAAGTATTTGAGCTTATGATTTAGGCAGGTTGAAGCTTGTTCTGATGTTGATGAATGTTCAGCATTCAGTGAAAATGTGTTTGATGGTAACTTGGACACTGTAAGCTGAGCATATTGGGCAATCTCCCTTGGCCATTAAGAAACTGTGGGAGATTTAATTGTGTCCAATTTTGAGTTAAAATAATTTCCAATTTTCTGGGTATTTTGATAGGAAAAGTCCAATTTTAAGTGTTATGTTTGATGTGATTAAGCTTTGTGGAGTAAGATGTCCATTTCTGGTGCCATCTTAGTTGGCATTTATTTATTATCAGCCTTTGTATGTCCCTGAATTAGATAATTTGTGTGAACAAATATAGCCGATTTCATTATCTTTATTGTTTTAATTTAGTTTGTCAAAATTATTTATGATTAATTTTTTTTTTAATTTGCAAACATTTTTAAAACATGAAAACTAATTATTTTTATTATTACATAGAGCTAAATCTGGAAGTAATGAAATACAACATAAAGATAATCAAATAAATTCACAACAAAACAATATTGTATTGGATTCTCAACATTTTCCTAGTTTAGTTGTGAAGAAGCAGAAGGACCAAGCTATACATTAAACTACTCAGAGGTAATTTGAAATACCTATTATATTTGTTTGGTTTAAATATTATAATAATGTATTGTTCTGATATAATTTTAATTTATTACTTCAGTATTATTTCGAGAAAAACTAGGTATACAACTGTTATAAATACTGGTTAATTTTTTTCCAGACTTTACTATGTGAATTGTGTATGTAATATCTTATTTTAATTTTTGATCACAAAAATAATGTCAGAGGCTACATTAAAATCAGATTTCTACATTATATTATATTTATTATTTAACTTTGGTTATTAATTTTGATAATGTTAGATATTTTTCTGGATTTAATTAAAATTTATTTATTTTTGATTTTATTATCAATTATAAAGTGAATAATCTCTCTATAATTAAAATATAATACCTACTCAATCCTATACTCTTGTATAGACCAATACTTTAGGAATAGGTATATAATGTTGATTTCGTATGTTTTGAATTTAAATTTAAAAATATTTAAATTTTCTCTAGACAAGGTATGAATTGGCCTTTTAATACAAATATGCATAGAGAACAAAATAATAAAAAATACAGATGTTATGACACTGATTTAGCCAAAAATGTCTACAAAGCAAATCTTTCCAAATTGGATAAAAAATGAAATTTAATTTTATCAAGTACAATTATTATAGTTACCTCTGACATACTGTTTCGAATATATTTTTTTATTCTTATAATGCTAGAAAACATTCATTCTGGTATGCTTGTAGAAACGAAAGTGCGCATAGTATTTTAAAAATTAATTGTACATTAGGAAAAACATCACTATTTTAGTCTTTTAATAATTCAATACTAGTTTTGGAATATTGTTCGTTTAAGTTTTGTCTTTCACAATTTCAATTCAACAATTGACTTATTCACATTCGAAGTAGGTGAATAAAATTCTAGTCGTTTTCTAAATAGTACTTAACCATTAGAGGTTAAAGTAATAGAAAACAAACTTTAAAATCCTATAAAATATGGAATAAATAATTAAAGTTTGAATTTTAATAATATATATAGATACAAATCTTTTATCTAAGTAATTCATTTTTAATGTTATAGTACTATAAATTTCAATTAAAAATAATAATTTAACATACCTTTAAAAATTTCAGCATGGGTTGAAAATCTCTCTTCTAGTGGTTTTATAAAAATTCTAGGCAAGGTATAAATATTGATACTAGTAAAAATGATACTAGTTGTCTTAACAATTAAACTAGAACATGGATTTGCTTGATTTACTTTTAATTTAATCTTTTAGGTACTTCTTAACTTTAAAAAGATAATATTAGTATAAATCACTTTAAATATTTGTATTAATAATTATGTAATGGTAATTATAACTATTTATGAAAGTAAAAATACTTTTTATTATATTTCATATATGACTTACCTATAGGTAAAACATTAAAAATAAAATGTACTTAATTTTATATTAAAATAACTTTTTAATGAAAAAATGTAAAATAGGAAGTATCAAAAACTCTTGATTTCACAAATTAAACAACTATTTTAATTTATTTTATGTTATGCATTATTTGATTTTTGTTACACCAAGTCCTGAATGTTTTAGACATTTTATTTTAATGTTAAGTATACTTAAATACTTACAATGTATTTTATTTGTATATTTTAATGATCTCTAAAAGAAATTAACCCCTAAAGAACTAAACAGCTCAATAACTAGTACAATTATTCTTTCATATATTTTATACTTTGTTTTATTTTGAAAATTAGATTATCTTTATTTAAGTATGTTTCAAACTAAGTTTACTATAACATTTTATTTAAGCATTTTTGATAATTTTGATGGGGTTCTTTTCAATTTACCTAAAGAATATTATCTTGCTCATTGTATAGCTGAGGATTTAAAACTGAAAAAAAGATTTTGCAGTCAATTTTGCTTCGACTTATAATGATAGCACTGTTTTTGAAAGGAAATCTGACTAAGTAGGTACTTTACAGGGTCATTTTTTGATTTATTCCAAGCTGTTTTCATGATAAATAGGAAAAAGAGGCTATAAGTACAATATTAAATAAATATTATTAAAGAAAATATGTAATTAATGTATAATTATTTTACCTTTTTTTAATTATTAGTATACCTATTTTTAAATTATTTTAAACTAGCTCACCTATTTATTTCATAATAAGGACTTAAACTATTAACTTTTAAAATTTAATTTATTTAAATTTTTTTCAGTTTAGTAAATTTATAAAAACAATTTTATTTTTTTGAACTGTTATGTTATGGTATGCCACAATATTATAATAAGAATAAAATATTGATGTATATCATTGTATATCAATAATTTTGAAATGATATAGAGAAGAATAATTTCTGCTGCAAAAAATATAATATTAATGGTGTTTTTTAAGAAGGGGCGTATGCTATAAAAATCGAAAAAGGGGGTTTTTGGTATCAACAATTTTTCAGAAAAAATATACTGTTGTTATATGGGACACTTCTACGACCAGTAGGAGGAACTGAAAGGGTTCAATGTACATTTTTAAGTTTTATTGCTTGGGTGTTTTATATTTACTACAAACCTCATAATTATGAATCAGTGCTAAACCTAAATGTAAAACCTAAAGCTTTAGAACTATCATCCTAGCCAACAAACATGTTATCCTAACCAGTTATTCCTAAGAAAATTCATAGATAGTTCTATTACTGAAATACTGAGTTAACTCTATTTCAGCAGCCGTAGGCTCCATTCACAATCCCCTTTTCTTTTTTCCATACCCATTCATACCATCAATCATTCCTATAATAGGACAATGTTTAGGTTGATGAAATGATCTCTAATGAATGTCTATCTCCTTTCTGTTAATATGTTTATTTTGTTTGTAATCAATGCAAGTCTGAAAAATGCTTGTAGATTTTACTATTATGTATACAGTATATACAGGGTGATTCATTAGGCATGCTCACCCCATTTTTTTGGTCAAATTTTGCATACATTAAAATTCTGATTTTTGGAATTTTTTAGTTTAAAACGAGATATTTCATTTTTAAGTTTAGTTAGTGGAATGTTCCACTACTCTTTAGGGGTTAGCACACTTAGTGAATCACCCTGTATATATATATTTATATTATTCTGTACTCCTGGCTGTTATTAGAAATAAAATAAATTAAAAGACTATTAAACATTAACTCTATTTTATTATAGATTGTTGTATGATATCAAAAACAAGGAACTAAATCCTGGTGATATAACATACTATCATGTTAGAGGTGAAACAATTATTTTTGCGTTTTTAAAAATGAATTCATTCAGTCATATAGAAAGTGCATTCAATAAAATAAACCGGTTATCTAAGAAATATACTATATGGCTATACAAACTGGCCCAATGATCAACCTTGTGAAATTGAATGTATTGTTTTATTGTATCGTTCAATTTTTAAAAATTCTGAACTGTGGTTATGTGGTGAAACTGACAAAACAGTACCTCGCATTATGATCAGTATTGCAGACAAATTTAATGATTCTTTAGACTAAAACACTATGGATATAAGAATACAAATAAATAATGTATTTTATCATATAGGCATATTTTATTTTAAACAATTTATATATATAAATACATAGCTATTTTGTGAATTTAAATAAAGCAAAGTACTATTTATTGTGACTATTATTGATCTTCTTAGCTTTTTAAAAGCTTTTAAATTCATTTTAACAACCAAATTCCTCCATATTTATCTCTTATTATTCTCCAACAGTTGTTGCCATACATTTTTTAAGTATCCATTAAAACATTTGTGATCTAATCTTAACCATTGCAAATGAATCTATTCCCTGTTCTCTTAGAATTCAGAATCTAGAATTAATGTACAGCAATTGAAATAACCAAAAATTATAAAACATGTTTAATTATATAGTTAAGTTAATAGGCATATTGAATATTAAACAATATAATGGAGAAATAATTAAAAATTAAGCAATTAATAATTTAATTTAATTTATAAGAACTAAAAAAATATGATGCTTTAAATAACCAATAAATATTAATTAAAATGGTGTGAACCATTATGTCAAAAAGCATAATTACTATCACTGGAGAAATTTAATCATTAATACTAATTGAATTTTTACTTCTCCTTTCATAATGGAATGGTTTAAAACATGACCAGTATTTTTTTTGGACGTTCACAACCCTCTTTAAAGTGTTTTGTGCATGTTTACAAATTGGGTATTCTAAGTCTAAAGGAGGTAGTGGATCTCCAAGTAAGGCTTTTGTGCACATAGTCATACAATATGAAACTGCATCTATGTTATAGCCACCTTCTAAGGCAAGTATGACTTTTCCATTGGCCAACGATGACAGACAATGAGTGAGGTGTCCATAACATTCAGGTGTTACTTTGCAACCTGGAAAAAAATGGTTAGGAAACTGTATTCAAAATTAATACTATATTTTGATTTGAGTCAAATTTAACCTATATTAAAAATATTAAGTACATATAAAACATAAAAGGGAACATTTTTTTATCTATTGATCAGTTTTGCAGCATTTTATTCTAGTAATCTAAAATATTCTAAATATCAAAGACAACATTATTCAAATTTTGTGTAAATTAGAAATTTATTTTATGCATCATATATTTATTTACATAAATACTAGTTTATATTGTTTTAATGTACTAATAGAAGTACAAATAAACAAATTGATTCTACAATATTTATTGTAATTTAATATTATACAACTAGAAATAGATAGTATGAGACTTTGTTTTATCATTTTAATAACATATATATAATTTTTTTTTTTTAAATAATCATGAAATCATCTAAGCTTTATTTTAACAATAATTTAAATTGTTTACTCTACTCATGATATATAAACTGAATATACACTTGATTTTAAAGATTCCAGTTTATACTAGATGAACATCATTAAGTAACAACCGACTATATTCTCAGTGTATAACTTAAAACGAAGTTTAAATTAAAAAAAAGCTATGGACATACATGATGGTTGAGCTACTGTTATAGGTGAGAAGTTGAGAAGGTAGAACGTAGAGGGTAACTTAATGTATATCTGTAGGCAAAAATTATTCTTTGCTCATAAAAAACGATTCTGAGCCGAGTTCAATTGTAAAAAGGCCATAATAAGTAATATTTTCATTAAAATTTTAATAATAAAAAAAAAATATTACATTAAAATTAATTTTTTCTTGTTGACCACTAAGTACAACTTATAATGAACATGTTAAATTGGCAAGCATTTTCGTTAGGTCTAATAATTTTATCCATAGAGTATCTAGTAAAAATTATGTACAAAACTCATAAAATTAAAATGCCTATAAATAGGTTAAAAATAGCTCAAGTGTTTTGAAATTTTAATCACATCTATAAAAGGCAAATATAAATTCCCTGTCCAAATTTCAAGTCTCTATAAACATTTTTAACCGAATTGCAAAAAAAAAAAAAATTTAAAAAATAATAAAAGCATTATTTATGTATATTTTTCCAGATGATATGAAAACCACTTGGAAAACTGAAAAAATGACCAGCCTAAAGTACTATCTAGACAAAATTTCCTTTCAAAAAATGTGGCGCAATTACATATCAAATCAAGATTTCTGATAGAAATGTTTAATATAAATGCTTAAATAAACATCATTGTATTACATTCTCTGCAATATTCAGAATCTAAAATATAATATGTATAGTATAGTATAATACCTGTGTACTATACATATTATAGTGATGTATTATACCTATTCAATCCTTGTACTTTCCTTTAATTTGTGCTAATGAGGACTTCTACTTCATTGTTTAGATCTGTTATGTTTTAGATTGTTTTAGTTTTAATTATTTATGTAGTTTAATGCTTTGGCTTATACAGTCAATTAAATAAACTAATAAAAAATAATTTTTAACCTCCAAGTGGATCTCCCACTGCAGCATCAAATCCAGCAGATACCAAAACAAGCTCTGGACAGAATTCGTAGGCTACAGGTAAAATTATATTATGCATTACTGAAATATATTCAGCATCACCCATGCCATTCTAAAAAAATATGGAAAAATATTAGATCACTTACAAAGTACTGGATTTAATAAGATTAATGAATAATTTATTTAATATATTATAATTTACTTTATTCCATGGTATATTAATAGTATATCCCTCTCCACTATCGGAACCTGTAGCTTTATGTGAGCCCTCTTCTGAACAAGGAAAAAATTTTGCATTTTGATACCGGTGTATTGATATATACAAGACCCTTGGATCCGACCTAAAAGCTCTCATTGTACCGTTTCCAAAATGTATATCCCAATCCAAAATCATGATTCTAATAATGTATTCATATTAATGAGTTTATAAATACATTTTTTAATTGTTTCAAGCAATGTAAGATGTATGACTCCATAGCAGTGAATGTTGACAGTAGCCGATGATTGGTGACATTCACTAGTAATTTTATTTTGATGAATATTGACATTTTCACAAATATTATAAATTATATCAATACAGAAATTTAGAGGAGTTTGTTCATTTGCATAGTAGTTAAAATATATTCAAATTTCCAATGGTGTATTTTTGGACACCCTCTCATCGAAAAAACATAAATAATTTTTAATTAGTTAATAAAACAAATAACAGTGAAACTACATAATAATATTTGAAAAAAGACAATGAATTAAAAATGATTAGTTACCTAGTCAACAAATTAATAGTAGACAAGCCTGCAAAAGTTTGCAAGTATATTTTTTTATAACATTAAGATACTGATGATATGCTGCATTTAGCAAAACCAGAAATGGAAATGACCAAATTTCTAGAACTAGTAGAAAAATTAAGCAATGAAGCAGGTTTAAAACTCAATTGATCAAAATATGCTCAATAATCACCAAAAAAAGTGCACTTTTATCAAATAAAGGTAGTTCAGAAGAAGAAATCAAAGAAGAGTGGGTAAAACTGCAATTGCCAAACTTGTCAAAATATGGAAGAATCATGTTATCAGGAAAGGAACGAAGTTATATCTAATGAAAACACTGATATTCCCTTTTACATTTGGCTCCGAATCATGGACCAATTTAGGGTGTCTACAGAGAATAGAAACATTTGAAATGACTGTAAATAGTAGAATGATACAAATTTCATGGACCGAGCATAGAACGAATGTATTCATAAAACAAAAACTTAAAATACAAGTCCGAGACAACCTCTTGATCACAATACAGAGCCAAATCTCAAATTCTTTTGTTGAGGAACAGAGGTAGTTCTTCCCCCTCCATCCGCTATATAGACTAAATTAAAACCCTCACACAAATATCAATGTGAGAAAGCATCAGGAATACAAAGAATAGGGAATTCTGGAAAAATGTGTCCAATCAAAATAACATATTTGCATTGAAAGTCACTATTTTTGAAATCAAACATTAAAGAAGAATACCTAACAGACAGCAGTTGTTGTTAGTGTGTAAATTTATGATAATATTATAATTGCACAACGGTAACTACCTAGGACTATAGTTGTTTATTGTTTAAACATTGTTTTACAAGAAAAATAGGACAAAAAAGGGGAGGTGAGTGATAAGATACTTAACAATATAAATTGATTTGAGTCATTTAATGATAGGTTATGCCTTTTCAAAATTCAAGCTAAATGGTTCAATATAATACTGATTAACTGCTATACCTCATAGAGAACAAAAATGAAGAAATGAAAAATTAATTCTGTTCTCAACTTAAAACACTGTATGATAAATATCTCATAATATAGTCAAAATCATACTAGTTGACTATTACAAAAATTGGAAAAGAAATAGATTTCAAACTTATCATAAGACAACAAAGACTCTCCATAATGAGTGATATCTTTTGTAATGTCAAAAGGCAGGCTTTTAAGTAGATTTTCCTGCATAAGATACATAAACAGACATGGACATTGGAGAGAAAAGAAACGAGTTACTCAAAAGTTCAACATTGAAAAATTAAAAGAAAATAAACATTCAGAATTAGATTGAAACAATAGATACAAATTTAAAAACCACCAACAACACAGAACCTGATAAATTGTGGGAATAACTAATCAATCGAGAAGTAAGACACACTAGGTTTCGCGAAAAAGGAGAAATCTAAAGGTTCAGCCATAGGTGTAAAAGAGCACTTGAAGAACCAGATGCTGTTAGAATGATATACTAAAAGCCACAAAAAGCAAAGGGAGATAAGCTTTAAAAGCAACATTAGTTTTATACAAGAAAAGGAATAACAGGTACCAACCAAGATTGGTAGACTAAATCACTTTAATTACAGCTAAAAAAGAAATAGCTGAAAAATGTTTGAAACTATTTTACTTAAACCAAGACAAGAAAAGCCTGTAGATCAATACATGATGACTGTAGAACAATTGATAAATGAACCAACAACAGAATAAATAGAAATAACTATTCAAATGCTAAAAAATAGTAAAGCACCTGGAGAAAACAATTTAACACCAGTTATTAAAAAAGAGTAAGAAAACTTCAAGATTCTAAAACAGTCAAACTAATAGCAAACATTGATGACATTGTATTACTATCAGAAACTGAAAGGGGCCTTCAGAGTAAGGCAAAAGTTCTCATCGAGGAAAACAAAGAAATTAGGTTAATTATAAATGAAGAAAAGAGAAAGTACATGATACTGTCACTGAAGAATACATTATGTACATCTCCAGATTTATTAAAAATAAGGACCAAAACAATTCTATAAATATGCTTTTCTAGAAAACAAAATCAAGATATGTGTTGTTAACATGCACATGTACATAACGAATAATAGATATAGTAAGAGATATGGAGTTTAAGAGGGTAGAAAACTTCAAATATTTAAGAGTTGAGTGTGTCCAGTACAGTTATCTAAAGTAGATAACCATGATATTGGGCAATAATTATAAAGAGATATTAAACAAAATTAACTTCTTCCCATTAAAGACAATCCTGAAATCTAAATTAGTATCAAATAGATCAACACTAACTTTATATAAAGTTAAAAGTAATGATATGCTTAATAGCACTACATGCATGTAGAAACCCGGACTACAACAAAAACAGAGAAGCAAACATAACAAGATATGTGATAAAGGTGTTAAATAAATTTTTAGCCTTAGAAGAAACGAACAGTTAAGGGTTAACAGATGGAAAGAAGTGATGGGTCGGCAAAGAGAACCTAAATGGTCTATACTAAGCTAAAACACAAAAATTAAATTAAAAAAGAAAAGTAAGATAATGGGGATAAGTGCAGCCATGGTGGGAAGTTGGGAAGGTAAGATACGGACAGAAATTTAATGTATATCTGTAAGCAACGATAAACCATTGCTTACAAAAACTGAGCTGAGTTCAGTTGATAGTGATGCTTTATCAACAAAATATATGCCACATTATAGTAAAATAGGCTCTATATATTTTCTTAAATATTTGTTTAATGTTGTACCAATTTAGTTTTCCAATATTTTTCCCATGTTTTATCTCAGTTTTTCAAATTTGACAAGAAAACTCCTAAGAAAATTGAAAAATGACCTCCCTTTACCAATTTCTTTACAGAAAAGGTGCTACACTTAGAAATTTACTGGTAGAAGAGTTGTTTATAGGTAGAAAAAAAAAATAGATAAATATCTTTTGCAAAACCATAAACTTCTTGGCTCCACTCAAAATCTAAATTAAACTATCACAATATATTCTTTCATATGTTTAACATAATATCATATCAAAAATTATGGAAATTTTTCGAGTATTTAAACAGTAAGTTAAAATGATCTAACAATCATAGGGTATTATTATTAGACAATACAAAGACATGTCCATATTATATTCCTTTGCTGAATTATTATTTTATATTTATTCAAAACAATCTTAGTACATAACTTGTTAGGACTTGGACATTCTTTGATAGGGAAATAAAAAAATTAAAATTAGGAAAAATGAGGAAGAGAGGATGACTGAAAAAGATGTGATACAATTGAGAATGATATGAAGATGGTCGATCCCAAATAGTTGAAATGAAGGCGAAGGAAAAGAAGATATTTTTAAATTAAATTTAAATAATAAGTTATAGTATTTATCAGCAGCTATCATCATGGCTAAAGCCTGCTATAACAATCCTATAAATTTGTAAACTGTTCCAACCATAGCAGAATGTGTACTTGCGCCAATAAACTAGCGACTGTCAATGTTCACCATTATGTCTATACATCTTAACATTGTGCATAATTATTTTTAATCAAAAAATACCTTTTGAGGCCAAATTTATTTAAAGCATAACTTGCACCAATAGCAACAGAATTAAAAATACAAAATCCACAAGCAATATCATTTTCAGCATGGTGTCCAGGTGGTCGAATAACTGCAACACCAGATGAACTCTCATTATTTATCACAGAATCAATTACCTATAAAAATTGTTAAAATTATTTTGTTAAGTTTTATTCATAATTTGTATCCCTATTTGTAATTATATTATGATTTATGTAAATACTTGCAACAAACAGCCAGTAGCAAGTGTTGAAACTTTGTAAGTGTCTACAGTCAAATATACAGAATCATAACATTTTTCTTTATCACTTAATTCTGATAATGTCAATTTGTGTAAATTAGACATTTCATCTACATGTTCTTTGGAATGGGCAAGAAACAACTCACTCTCTTTAGCTTCTCTAGACTAAAATATTTAAAAACAAATGTAACAAATGTAAATAAAAAGTTTTATACTCAAGGCCTATTAATAATAATCATTTTCATACTTTTAATATTAAAAGTCGAGATGTTAGCTGGAATGTGTTGAACATGTTTAAAATTGCACTTATTCTACCAGGACATTCTGGATGGCCACTACAACAAAAAACCGATATTAAAAGCTGATAAATAATTTAATAATTATTTAAATGTATTTTGTTTTTCATAGTATAATATTGAAATATTTTGATAAAGTGAATTGGAAAAAATTTAAAATAATGAAATCATAAAAGATTAAAACATGTAAGATTGAATACCTACTCACATTAATTAGAGATTCTACATGCTTTGGCTCTAAGCTAATTATATTTATTTATTATGTACTTACACAGACATATATGGATCTCATATTTTCAATGATAAGAAAAAAAATTGAAATGTATTTATCAATTTAGATATTATAATGAAATTTGTATTTATATATAATTATGACAAAATTTGATAAATTATACAAAAAATAGGGGTCCTCAATCTGAATTCAACATAGTTACTTAAGTTAACATAAATTATACCTTTCACTGCTTTCGTGTTTTTGATCCATGATCAGATCATATGAAAGACAAACTTTATTTTTTATGTTCAACAACTGTGTCTCTGTAATATAAATTATTAAATGATAAAATATAGTATGCAGTATGCATGAAATTATATTCTCACCAGAAATTAAATGTTGAAGAACTGAAAACTCATCCACTTTTGTTTCGTCTTGAGTTGGATAACAATTAGCAGTTGGAAACACACTTAATGGTTCATCATTAAAAGAATATAAGGATACTGCCTTATAGGTAGGACTTAACAAAACTTCTGTTTGAAAACATTTCCAGTACTTCTGATGTGCAAAAATAACATTGTGTATTGTTTCTATTATACTAAAGTTTGAATTAAAATTATTATATTAATATCACATTTTAAAAAAATCAGTTACAAATATTATAACTGTATTTTATTACTTTACCTATTACAAGGACTACCAGTCTTATCAAGCAATGGGCATGGATCTCTAAGTAAGGATCTTAATGTTAATGCTGCACCTTCTGCTAAAGATTTTAAACAATATCCTCCCTATGAATATTTAAGTTAGTAAATATTATTATAATTTAATTTTTAAACTAAAATAATTGTTACCTCTAGTAAAACCGCCACTCTACCACACCCAAAATTCAGAAGAGAATTAACTAAATGAGCATAGCAGGCAGGTGTGATTTCCATTTCTCCCTAAATTTAGATAAAGATACAGTTTAAAAGATAAAGTATATGATCTAGTGTTATTTACCTCAGGACATCCTAATGCAGCATCATATCCAGATGATATCATTATAAGATCTGGTTGAAACTAAAATAAAAAAGGTTAAAGTAAATTCACAATAAATAATTATTAATTAACTCACTTCTGAAGCTACTGGCAACAAAATTTGATGAAATATAGCAAGGTAATCAGTATCAGTCATGCCAGTAGAATTAAGTGGTACATTTATATTGAAGCCTTGACCATCACCACTTCCAGTAAAATCCCAATCACTTTCTCGTAAATTGGGCCAAAACTCTCCATTTTCATACCGGTGAATAGAAAAGTACAATACTCTATAAAATGCAAAGCAACAAATAATATAAAATAATAAAAATAAAAATATGTATTAAAATATAACCTTGAATCATCATAAAACATTTGTTGTGTAGATTGTCCATGATGAACATCCCAATCAACAATTAAAATTTTAGATACTGAATAATGGCGAAGAACATATTCTGCAGCTATTGCTACATTATTGAAAAAACAATAACCACAAAATTCTGATTTCATAGCATGGTGTCCAGGAGGTCTTTAAAAATAAGTCAATAATAATTTTAATAAGTAAATAACTAAACTAGTATTAATATACCATACAAATTTAACAAAAATGTCTAAAAAATATTTCTTATTAATAAAATATAAAGTGAAGTCACCATCACCTAATATTCTTTATCATTATCCCTACTATAGCTACTAATTTTTATTTAATTCTTAAATAATGTAATTTGTTATTTGATTAGCCATATGGTTTTTGTATCAATTTACAAGGTGATAAGTTTCTAGTTTATCAAAAACATAGTTAAATTAGTATTTGAAAATATTAATAGTTATTTTTCATTCGATACCGCTCATAAGTTTTTAAGAAGTGAAAATTTAAATTTTTCCAGAATTTATTTTCTAGAACATTTAAGAAATAAGCAGCTCTGCAATTTTATATCCATATTATTTTTAGAGTCAAAAGGACTACTATTTTTAATTTTCAAATAGCAACAGGTACAAAAAATTTCATTAAATAGATGGAGTATTAGTTAAAATAAATTTTAATGTTGAAATTTTTGATTTCTGTCAATCTGTTGACAAGATATTCCAGTTCTAAGTTTTGGTTGAAGAAATGTAGTGGAGTATCATTTGTGTGGCAGTAGGCCCGTGTTAATAATGCACCACAACTCTATTTCAATCCAAACTTAAAAGTGAAATATCTCGTCAATGCCTTAGCAGAAATAAAGATTTTTAAGTAATATTCTATCTGTTTATTGACTTTTTAATAGGTGTACCGGTTAATTTGTGCGGTTTTTTTTCGATAATTGAAGCTTTATTGTGAAAAAATGGTTACAAATTTAATATTCAAAGTATTGTCCATCACTAGCTATGACCTTTTCCCATTTTTCTGGCAATTCACGAATACCCTTTCTGAAAAATTCGGCCGGCTTCTCCGCTATCCACGAATCGATCCAATTTTTGACTTCTTCATAATTGGAGAAGCGCTGGTCAGCCAGGCCATGTTGCANGGAAGAGATAGTGATCGGATGGCGCAAGGTCTGGACTATACGGCGGGTGGGGTAGGACATCCCATTTGAGTGTTTCAAGGTAGGTTTTGACGACCTGTGCAACATGTGGCCGAGCATTGTCATGTTGCAAAATTAAATAATCGTGTCTGGTCTCAGTTTCTGGCCGTTTTTCTTTCAATGCTCGGCTCAAACGTATCAATTGTCTTCTTGTGTTCTTCAATTGTAGACTTCCCCTGTGATCGGTTCATTCCGTTGCAACAGCTCATAATAGATCACACCCAGCTGGTCCCACCAAATACACAGCATAACCTTCAGGCCATGAATATTCTGAAATGGCCGAGGTATCCATATGTTGCCCAACGTTTTGGATTATTGTAATGGACCCACTTTTCATGGGCAGTGACAAGTCGATGCAAAAAACATTTTTTTTGTGCCGTTGAAGCAGTTGTTCACACGCGAAAAATCGGTGTTCGACGTATCTTGGCTTCAATTCATACGGCACCCAATGGCCTACCTTCCGGATCATTCTCAATGCTTTTAGACGATCAGAAATGGTTTGTTGAGCGACGCCAAGTGATTTTGAAAGTTTTTCTTGCGTTTGGGATGGATCTTGGTCGAGCAATGTCTCCAATTCGTGATCTTTAAACTTTTTTGGCTGTCCGGGCTGTTCATCGTCCTGCAAGTCAAAATTGCCACTTTTAAACTGTGCAAACCACTTCTGGCACGTACGCTCAGCTAGAGCATGCACACCATACACTTCCACCAAAATACGATGACTTTCGGCAGCCTTTTTCTACATATTAATGTAATGAAGAAGTACTCCCCGCAAAAACACTTTATTCAGTACAAAATTCGACATTTTCAGAGTAAAAAAAAGTATTGTTGTTTACGCTTCAGCTAAATGACACATACTGATTCTGAAACAATATGACAGTAGCTTTCCAACACATATTTGAAAAGGTGAATCACTGGAATAAAATTCAAGTTACGCCATCTGTTAAAAAACCGCACGAATTAACTGGTACTACTATTAATATAAGTTGCCATTTGAAAATCAAAAGTAGGTAGTGTAAGTAGGTAACTACTGTTTTACCCCCAAAAATAAGAGTGACAAAAAAATAACATAAATATAAAATTGTAGAGCAGCTTGTTTCTTAAATGTTTTAGAAAACAAATTCTGGAAAAATTTAATACTTTCCAAGATAATGAGTGTACCCACTAGAATGGATCACTTGGTATATATACTTATAATGTATTTATAGTTTTTTAAAAATTGTTTTCAATAATCAATAGATTAAATTCTACATTAATATAAAACATTTCTTAAAATGGCAATCACCCAATACTTCTTCAAACTCCAATACATTTTATATTTTTTACCTTATAAAAGCCATTCCATTTTGTATTTTGTTTTCACAAATTGCTTTGACAAGTTCGATTGAACTTCCTGTAGCTAACAAACACTGCTTATATGTTGACTAGAATATTTACAAAAATAAAGAACCTAGTTGTATATACAATATATTTATTTGATAATTACTTTTTAATAAAATGCACTTACGGGATGAAAATAAACAGCATCAAATTTAGAAGACAAAATTTCTAAAAGTTTAGTTTCTTGTACATTATCTGTAGATTTTAATATATCTATAATTTCTTGTGTATGTTTGTATAATAGTTCACCATTAGTAGCATTGCGGCATGGTATTTGTATGCATCTTTCAATCAATCCCAATTCATTACACCTATTAAAATATCCATTTAAAGAGAACAAATAAATAAATACAATTTTAAACACAGAGGAACTGGTTGATGTAATTAGTGTTGAATACTTTAAAGAAACAACATCTGACAATTTAAATATTTAATACTACCTTTTTATAATTGATTCATATCGTTGTGGATTTTCTGGATAATTGGAATCCCAAATACACAAATGGTTAGAAAACTGATCGTCATGAACTATTCCGGTTTGTTTGATTTTTTTATCAATAAAACTTCTAGCCTATAAAAAAAATAACATTAAAAACTACATAAATCGGTATTCAAAAATTAAATTATACATTAATATTAATAGGAATGTTTTTTATACCTACCGAAATTTATAAATGCACAAAAAAGTACAGAAGTTGTAATAAACTTATCCAAATATTATATGATAGATTTCATTATGAAGATAAACTTAAGAGACATGATTATTACAAGATACATTTTTTAAAAGGACCTATATGAAAACTTTTTGGAATCATATATTCTATATGAATATTTAAATATTTTTTTAAGGGAAAATGTGAGGAATAACTTAAAGTTACTAACTCTAGTTCAATAATTTACAAACTAAAAATCTAAATACCTCTAGCCCCTTAAATATATACTATGATTTTCAGCAATCTCTCAAAATGTATTACCTAAAAGTAAACTGCCTATGAATCATAATTCAATAATATAGGTTTCCTTCAATTTTAAAGTGAAATTTACTGTCATTTAATGATAATATAATTTTGATATTTTAAAACTATAATTGAAAAAGAATTAGGTAGGTAGGTAACTAGTCAATAATATAATGTTGTACATAATTTCTGTATAAATGCATGATGTGAAAATTTTAAACAAAGTACTTATTTCTACTTATTTAATTAAGAAAATATCAGAATATTTATGTATTTATGTTAAAATATAATATTATAGGCAGTTTACTAGTAAAACTCACATTCTTAAAATCATCTTGCACGTGATCATATAATTTACAATTTTTCATATTTGTCTCCAAATATTCTTTTTTTCGTGCGGCAATAAGATCACTTGTTGTTAGTTTTATTTTAATTTGATTATCCTGAAATAAATAAATACATAGGAACTTTAGTTAGAGATGCACTTAAATAATATTATAGAGCTATTATAATGTTCACAATTAGTAAAGGTACATATAGTAGGTAACTATTATTATATGTTTTAAAAAATTAAATATTTATCTAATTTAGTTAATTTTGGATGTAACACAACTCATACCAAAAATGTACTTAATTATTTTTGTTATCTTATTATTTTTCGGAAAAATAAAATATTATAATAACTAATTTTTGAAGTGTTTTACAGATAGATAATTCTATTTATTCAATAACACACAATAATCAAAATTTAAAGAATCATATTTCTAAACTATTAGAAGTTTATGTACATACATTGATTAGTTTATTCACCAAACAAGTATATTATTTCTGAAATAGGTACTTACCTACTCTTTTGTCTTTTAAACATCAAAATATTGTAAATAAATAACTATAAAATGAAACTTACCATTAGTGAAGTCAGTTTTTATACAGTTATCAAAATACAAATCAATAACATTTTATCATTGCAGTGAAGTGGATGAAGAACGATTTCGAAACGTCATAATAAAACGAATGGGAATGTATCACAATTTTATTTTATAACAATAAAACATTAGGGAAATTAAAGAATAAAACGAATGATAATGCGCGTTGTGACTTGTGGAATGAGGTTATGGTTTATCAGTTGTAGTAGCACCAATGATAATACAACATATTTGTAAACACTAAACAGACCATGTTCGACGTGATCATAGAATTGATAATAAAGGAATATTCCTTGACTATGTCCACGATGCAACAATGAATGACCCATAAAGTAAAGAATGACCATACTTGGCGTTGGCAGTTGACCCACGGACAGGCCGGGCAAGTGGTACTAAAAGTGCTAGAAACACATTTAAAATTTCTGACTCAGAAATTGCCTGGGTTTGGAAACAATATACCAAAATACTAGAAATACCACATTACGTCAAAAAGGTTGAATAGGTTGAATTTGGTAAGTAGGTACTTTTATCGATCGGTTTAGTAACAATGAACAGTCGTCACCAATGTGAGATAACATTTAATTACCCGATACAAATATTAAATTTTAAATTTATTAGATTAAAACTCACAGTGATTTATGTACCTACCTACTAATAATGGAAAATTAAACTATAATGCTCGAAAAAACCATTATCTCTAGATAACACTTTATTATGTAGGTACGTCTTTACCTTGGTTATATTTTGTACTGTACGTTGTATGGTATTCAGAAAACGTCACGCCCGAGTACCTACTAATTACATCTAAAACCAGATACTATGAATTGCAGAAAAAAAATCCCCAGACTAGGAAAAAAATTCCTGGATGGTTACATTTTCGACATTTTTAACAGTGTATTCAAAATAAACGTGATCAAGATGCAATTTCAACTGACTATTTACTATTTAGTTTTTATTTGTTTGAGTTCCGGTATATATAAATACTACATCCTAAATCATTGTAGATATATAAATTATAAATTATATAATATACGTAATTAGGAGTGTTTTTCCAATGTAGGTACTCGATTTAAAATAATGGGTGGAACAATCGGTTTGGCCATTTAGTCGGTGAAAACATTCTTCAATATGGAAGTAAATTGGAAAAATTAAATGTAAAGTAGCTGCAGATTTGGAAAAGTTAGTATTAAAGAATATAAGTGAGCCATTCAACAAAATGAAAAAATTAGGAGTGACTCAAAATACTGAAAAAAGATTGATAGAACTATTTGACAAATTTGGGTCTGTATATTGATTAGTACCCATATGCTGTGTTTTATGGCAACCCGCTTGGTAGACAGGTCGCTTTTAAATAAAAGTTGTTTCTCTCAAGAATTCAAAATAATGAGGTAAATGTTGCGTTGTAATGACTAGATAATATGTTATTTACATTTTATAATTATTAACTACCTAGGTAGTAGGTAGGTATCACTTATTATATAGGTACCTATCATCATATTATATTATATTATATACATTTTTTATACAATTATTATTATTAATTATGATCGCATATTATGTACCAAATTATTAAATTTTTAACGTAGAATTCATTTTATTAATTATTTTATTTTATTTATGGCCGTTAATCTCTAGTATAATACTAGTACTGGAGATTTTTTTTTTTTCCATATACGGATACAATATTGATTTTGTTTATTACCCTCTTTTCCATCCTCTCCCAATCCAAAAAATAATCGTAGGTACTCATGATAAATTCAATCGGTGGTTTATAATATCTATAATAAAATGATATCTACTCATTTCGTATAGGTAGGTTATAATTTACTAAAATACAATACCTTCATCCATTTTAACAGGACAATATGAGATAATTGTTTGACATGTAGTATAATATTTAATAAATTATAATCTCGTAGGTACATATTGTATATTTACAATTACCGTCGTTTACCTTATACCTTATAAAAAAAAAGTTGAAATTTTAACATTAATTTAATAAAATTGTAAAAAAAAATTAAACCCCCCCAATTCTCACCAAGTTAATCCCCAGTCTTATTAAGAGGTGTTGCCTAAAAATTGATGCCTCTGGGTGCCAAATGTCTTAGCACGACTCTGCTGCAAAATATATTTATTTTTATTCTGTAGTTAAAAATAATATTCAATTGATTTTCAGAAATCAAATAAATTTAAATTTTTAGTTGAAAAATTACTATTCTTTATATATTTTATGTAATTTGGGTCGCAATACGTTAACCATCCCTATAGTCTACCAATTCTTATATTATCGGTGCAACTCTTCCTGTTTGTCTGGGTTTAAGTGAACGGTTTTTTTCTTGTCTTCGCAAATTAAAAAGTTAAAACGTATCTGCGCAACAAGACTGGCGCGGATAAATTAAAATTTCATAACTATTTAAAGAAGTATTTGTTATTTTAACGCGGTTGCTCCGGCTGAAATTTGTGGGATTGTAGCGGTGTAGAAAATTATTGGTACTTACCATTACTACTATATACTGTAAAAATAATTATAATATTTTACATTCGGAGTGTAGCGAGGAATGTAATGGCTTTCCAATGATTAATGATTATTTCTTTTTTTTAATATACATACCTATGTCTATGGTTAATAGCATTGACCTGTAAACTAGTTATATAATATAGTTTGCGAATAACTAATTAGATAGCGCTAGGGCTCGTCTCAGAAAGTCTGGGTATCCCTTATCGATCCACATCCAATAAATTATCTATGTTAGTATCACAGTTTAAGATATAAAATCACGGTTTAAACCATGGTTTAAATCGTGGTTTGTATTATTATCTATGATGTATAAATCTTAATTTGTGCTACAAACACATGATTTGCACATGGTTTTTGATAACAATACTGTTGTTAACAAAAGTGTACAATTGAAATTCGAAAATATCCATCAACTACCAGCAATTTGACCTATTGTAGACTACACTACTGCAACTGCATTATTGTCATGAGTATTTTGGTAATCTTTTGTATAAGTATCACGTAAATATCAAAATATACTAAACATTGTTTTTTTTATTCTTAGCAGTAAAATCATAATCAGTTCCAAAATAATTTTAAATCTATTTTATAATGACTCTTAATTACGACGCCATCATTGGGTTCAGCAATGGAATGTTGAAAGGTAATGTTTTTTTTTTCTACATATTTAATTATGTCAATTGTGACCTATAAAATATCTGTCTGGTCCTTATTTATTCTGATGGTTAGTTGGATGGAAATCTATGTTCTTTAGTAATCCAATTGACAATTGAATTAGTTATTGATAGACTATCCATATACTAACGGAATCAGATGGATTGTTTGAACAAGTTTCGTCCAATTGCCAATCTGCGTTATTTTCTAATGGATTAATTAAGAACGACCAGTATCATTACTAATATCCAAACAAACACTGATAAATATTGTTTGTTATTTAACCATAATCATATTAATTTATATTTTTAAATTAATTATTCATGTTAATCATAATACTATAGGTTAAAAATTTAAGTATTTTATTTAATTTGTTATGTGTTTATGGTACTACAGTATATGAAAATGATAACAATTAGAAAAAATGGATTTTTATACTTTTGGGAAGATTTTGATTTAATAACACAATATAAAACAACAATAATAACATAGATCATACAGGGGTCTCACCCTTTTCTAAAACGGTATATGCAATTCATAGTGTGATTACCTACATAAAGAATACCTTCAAGGAATTGAGTCATTACAGTATACTAAATAATTTTGATTACCTATTACATTTTATCACTTTAAGTAAACAGTTTCAGAACCTATCACTAATCATTAAATGTACTCAAATGTTCATTGTTTTTGATAATTTTAATTTCAGGGTAGTTTGGTTGTAAACTAATAATTATTGAAGTACAAAAGTAATTTGATTTACCATCCGTGACTATGATGGTCAATCAAATAGACAGTTAAAAGAAATTTTGCACAATATAACAAAAATAATACCATATTAAAAAAACAAAATAATCCGTCATCTTCTTTATTTTTTTAAAGCATAAGTTTTTTGAGCGGCAATATTTTGTATTTTACAAAGAAATAAGACAAATGACAGATAACAAAGAGTGACGGTTAATCGAGTTTTTACTGTTCTTATTTTTTTGGAATTAAATACATTAAATATTCAAATTATAAATTAACATATTTTATAGAATCAATAGGATTTTGAAAATCAATTTTATTAGAACGAAAGAACAGTGTCTATGCTATGAGTTAAATAATTTAAACTGTTGTTATGTTATCATTGATTACAGACTTAAAAATGCAATTGTTATTAATTTTATTTACCTATAATTTTTATGATTATGATATTTTATTATACAGTGTAAAAATATAATTTTATTATAATGTTATATAACACTCTTATTTTACTTATTACCTATACATAGGTAATATTATATATATTATATATTATGAAAAACCAATTTACAATATTTATAATATTTCACAAATAATAAGCTATTTCAATCAAATATAACAAATTTTACCTTTTTCCATTACAAATTTTTTCTGGCGAATTCCTTAGTAGCCCCTGATTGAGAAATATTGTTTTACGATATAATATAAAATAAATTTAAATTTTTGTTTCTTAGTTAATTTTGGACTTAGAAAAGTGGTTTGAGCATTCAAATTTATGAAAACTATGTTTATAACTATATTCAAGATCAACAACTAAAAAATAGATAAAACATATTCAACATATTCGTAATACAAATGTGATTTTTATTGTATTTTGTTATTTGACAGGTGTAGAACTAAAAAAAAACAAATTCAAGTATACTAATTTACTAGATGCATCAGTTGGATTAAATACTTTGAGTATTTTCGATGAAAACAAAACAATAATAAGTTCACAAAAAAAAATTTTTCTTTTTGATCTACAAAATAAAAAAATTACAAAAAAATATTATATTAAAGAATCTGGATGCATTAGTGGACTATTTAAATTAAATGAGTAAGACATTATTCTTGTCAATTAAATATTTCCTATGCAAAGTATTCTATTTACTATATTTATAATTTGTGTTTTTTTAGTTTTTTATTTGTTGGAGCTGATAATGGAACAGTTGTAATTAAACCAATAAAATTGACTAAAGGCTTGGTTGCAGAAAAAATAGATGTTGGTTCAAATTTAGCATGTTTAAGAAAATGTCTTACATCTGATAAATATGGAACAGGAGGAAATGAAAATCCATTAAAAATATGGGATGTTGAAACAAGAAAAGTTGAATTTACTGCCAAAAGTGTAAGCTTAAAATGTTTGCATATTTTATTATATATTATATATATATTTTCTTTAATTCAAATATTTTTGAAAAATATGATTCTATGTACTTTGTTTTGTTATTTTAAGCCTAAACCAGATATGCTTCAACTTAAACAACCATGTTATGTATCTGATATAAGATTTTTCAACAACAAAAAAGTAGTAGTTTCTCATAAACATGGAGTGGTAAGTACAAATTTATAATTATATTTTAATAAAAATCAGTTATTGAAAATATAATTAAGTATATAATTTTATTGAAAAAATGTATATTCAATACTTTAGTACAGTGGTTCTCAAACTTTCTTATTTACAGAACTCATATGTTCTGAAAAAAATTATGGAGTCCCAAAATTCAGGAATGTCTATTTGAGATAACAATTATTCATATAAAATGATGTAAATTGAAAATTATTTGCTTTTCTTTTTTTTCTTTAAAATATAAATATATACAAATTATTTAATTTGCTTATTAAGAAAAAAGAATATATTGTTTTAGTAATTTATAAAGTTTAATATTTAATGATTTTAATGTGATCTATAATGTTGGTTTTTTTCATCGACCAGTATTTTAATATTTAACTTGATAGATGAGAGTTAGATGTGCATGTCTGCTTTAGCATCTAATTTATTGCTATATTTTTATTTTGTTAATGTATATGATGAAAATCTGGTTCCTCACAGATATGTTGTTGCAAAAGAAAGAAGTGCTAGTACAGCTTTTTTAGCTAAAGATTGATAATCATTAGTAATACTGCTACTGCACTAAAAATCTGTTAATGATATTTTATCAAATAAAGTTTTTAATGATGAATTGGTGGTCAGTTCAATAAATTATTCATACTCCATTATAGAAAAGTTTTATCATTAATTAAAAATGGTTTTTAATCCAATTATATCGTTGTATAAATTCCATATCTTTACTCTCTGAAAATTATTTTTCCAATGATGATAGTATTTTATTTAAATGTTCAATTCTGTCATATATTTCATCAATTTATTTAATATTATCATCAATCAATTTTAAATATTTCTTTAACAAAGCAAAATTATCAATTTTATGTTGAGAAAAATACACAGCACAATTTTTTTTTTTTTCAAAGCTTAAATTTTGTTATTTTACCTTGTATTGATAAATTTACTTCCTTTAATTTTGTGAACATTTTATGAGTATGTCTGAGTTGTAAATTAAATGGGTGTTTGGTGAAAAATGTATAGTTAATTGTGTAATTCAAGTAAGCATATAAGTGTTTTTTCTCGAGAAAGCCATCTTACTTTCGTATGGTAAAGTAGTGGTTTATGAATACTTCCTATATCTTCACACAAAATTGTGAATAGTCTTGTGCTCAACAGTTGAGTTTTTACGAAATTTATAATCTTCACTGCCTTATCAAGGATATTTTTAAGAGGTATTGGCATCTTTTTAATAGCCAGCGCTTGACGATGAAGAATGAAATGACTATTACTATAATTGTTTGTTAGTTATTTAATTTGTGAAACTAAAAATATTTCACTTAGCCCCTAGACTACTTTCCTACAATATAACCTAACTTAAACATCGACTAAAAATAATTTAAAAATAATAATAATAATAATAATAATTAAAAATTATGACTTACCAGTAAATTATTTAACTGTGTTTATTTTTAAATTGTTATTAATTTGTAATTTAGTGTAATTTTTCAAAATTAGGTTGATTTACATGATCCACTATCCAGTCAAAGAAGACCAGTTGGAAGTTTTACTGCAGAAAAAACTGGATTTGTTTGTATGAATATAATTCCAGATAATAGTGATTAGTAAGTATATTAATACATTTAGTTTATTTTAAATGTATATTTATGTTGATGATATAATTGGAGCATAGTAAACTTTTTATTGCAATATATTTGATTTAGAATAGGGATTTTAAAGTTAAAAAAAAAAAAATTATACATAAAGCATATTGTGCATTATAGCATATTTTTTAACTACTGGCTGTACAATGACTAGAATTAGTGGATTTAGTATATTTAATATAATATATGTATTTTGTATTGCAGTGAAGTGATTGTAGGATCCTCCAAAGGTTCTATATTTCACTATGATTTCCGTGGAAAAACCAAATTTCCAGTTAAAACATTTAGGGGTAGTACTGGATCTGTAAGAGCAGTGTCTTGTATAAACTATTTAAATCAGATGCATATTATGAGTATAAGCTTGGACAGTCATATAAGAACACACAATTTTAACAGTGGCGACATATCACTAAAGGTAAATTTTTTAGATTAGAAGGTTAATGAAAGAAAATATGTGCAATATAAATGCATGAATAGGTTATTTAATTAGTATTTATATAAATTTATTATAATAACCTAGTTAACCTTTATTTACATTTATATACAATTAACAATAAAATTAACAGTAGTAAATTATTTCATTATATAACAAAACTAAAAAGAAAATGTTATAAAATAAATAATTTTATTTGAGAGGGATCCTTATCAACCAATTCCATCAAGCATTGAACAGTTTTAGTTTTGGAATAATTGTTTGAACAAATGAGAACAAAGAATACTGATAGAAAAGATACTGGATCAAGTTGGACAACAGGAAGCCCTAATATTGATCATGAAAGTATGATTTCACAAGACAACAAGCCTTTAAGAAACTTTGTGTGTAACATAAGCCTATGCTTATGATCAGTTAATGGGAGTAATTCAAACTATGCAATTATTGAAGAGTAGTTTTGAAATAGTGGAGGATGAATACTCAACAGTTCTAAAAAAACCTGTATTTAACTCTGCCAAGTTGCTGAAGAGCTATTAATACCATATGGGTTCCAAAAAACAACTTTATTTGTTCCAAAATTGGACAAACAGAATACTATTTTAAATGAAGACATTGATTAAATCTGTAATTACTGTACATACAAAGCCAAAAATTGTCAAGGCTTCCCAACTACCATTTCACTATGAAACTCTGGATCAAATGTAGTGTTGAGCTTAACCCACAAACAATCACAGAATTATCAGAATGTGTGTTATTAAAAGCAAGAAGATGGTACTAATAAATTATTAGGGAACTTCTGTGAGTGAAGGTCATTACTATTGACCTCATTTTTATGAAAGTACATAATTTTATTATGTCTAGGGTGTGGACTGGTACATAATTACATGGGATGCTTCATAATTTTAAAGTAAATAATGTTAAACAAACTTTTTAAAAAAACTAACATACTTCACACAATGTGTGAATTTCTGTTGTAAGCAGGAAGAAGTTGAAAATATGAAATAACATAGGGTAATTTAATTTATGGCAGTAGATCAATTTTTATAAAAATAGGTGAATTGTATCCCTGTTATAATTTAATTCTAGGTGAATTTCATCCCTATTGTAATTTAATACTTTGTGAATTATGTAATAAGTTTGTTTATTTTTAATTTTCAAATTGTATAATTTGTATAATATACATTGTATATCATCATTTGTTATCACAATTAACATATTTTTATTTTGTTCACTTATTGAGAACTCCATTTTTAATGAAAAATTAACAAACACGACTGTGAACTGAAAAACAAAATTATGTCTCACTGTTCAGTCATAATAGTTTTATAAATTATTATCTATTACTTGGGTACTTCCAGAAGGCATTTCAGTGCTGCTGTATTACTTAGAATGGCATTTTTTGTGTATAGTATTTCATATTGTCATAAATATCTGGGACGCAATTCACTGAACCCATAATTTATATTTACATACAAAGATAAACTGTTTCAAACAAAAAATTGAATGAGGCAAGTTGGTTTAATTGATTTCTTTTAAATTTGTTATTTTTCTTTCAAATATGCTTGATAATCTGAGTATTTGTTAGGATTATTACTAGATATAAATTATATATAACCCATTTTTTAGTACTTTCTAATGACTGGTGAAATTAATCTAATAATTGTTTAAATTTATATAAATTGTTTTTTCAATTTTTTTATTATTATTATTTTATGAATTTTATGAATACATTTTTCGGTATGTATTTAAAAAAAAAATATAAATATTTATACTTAAAAAAAATATTCTAATAGAGTTATACAAATATCTTATTAGTATTTTTAATGCATACAAATCTGATCTTAAACTCATTACAATTTGAAAAATTTATAATTATTTTACCATAATATAAAATATACTGTTGACAAAGCAACATTATTAACTGAATTCCGCTCAGAATCGTTTTTTATTAGCAATGATTAATCATTGTGCACAAATGTAAATTAAATTTCCCCTCTGTCTTCTCAACTTTTTACTTACAACAGTGGCCTGCCCTCCTGTGAAGTATTTCTTTTCAATATTTGATTTATTTTTCAGTTATTAATAGATTGTACAGTTTCTTGGTGTTATCTAAAAAAATCTAAGAACTAAATGCAGAATAAATGGATTAATAGTTAATTATTCTTTAAAAACCATGTATTATTTATGTTTATAATTTATATTAACCAGACAGCTGATTCCTGGTTTACTAAAGAACAATTATTAGTGATGCCTGGTTCCAATTTAAAGGAGATAAGAAGATTTTATTTTGTAAGATTAGATTATAGTATACACTTTTCAGTCTGTACTTTTTAATAATATATCTTTTGGAATAATATTAATTGAAATAATTTTTTATAATGAATTATAATTTAAATATGAATTGAATCTACGAGTATAAGTACCTAGAGGGTATTAGTATTGTTTAGTGATTTTTATTATTTTAACAAAATTATGTTAAAATTACTCATACATTCTAAAACATCCAGCTTCATCTTAATCTCTGCTTGAAACTTATTAATTTAATTTAGATACTTCAAAAATGTTGAAATACTTCATTATTATGATGCATTAATAATTTAGTGGGTAGTATAATTATTTAGAAATAAGAAAATATTGAAAATGTTTTTCAAATTATTAACAATAACATTGTTTGCATTCTTGATAAATGGCATGTCATAAAATCAGAGTCTACTATCTTATTAATATATATATATATGTGTGTTAGAATCATATGCAATATTCAACTAAAATATGTTATATATAATTATTTAAAACATTTTAACTCAAATGGTCAATATTATTATAAAAAAAATAAAGATAATCATGCAAAGCTATAAGGAATATTAGATTAAAATTTCTAATTATTTATTCATAATAAACTATTTTCTGACAATGAATTTTTGCTAAAACCCAATATTAATTAAATCTAAATCTACTAATACTGGCAGCTTTCCTTGTATTATATTATTTTTTGAAATGTAATAATAATTAGCATGGATAATTATCCATGCTTGTATTTTATTAAATGTGTTCAATCTACATTGCTAATAATGTATACTTATTTTTTAGAGGGATTTTATATATTTTTTTGTGTTGATAAATCAGAAAGACTGGCTGAGAACTTGTTTTATATTTCTAGCTTAAAACTTTAAAATTTCTAAACTTCTGTTTTAAATTTTAAATGTATAAATAAACTGTACTCAGAATCCATTTTTGTTTACAGTGATTTATCGGTTAAATTTAATTATTTAGAGACCAGAATTATATACATATGTATATATGTTGTTTTCATAATGAGTGTATAAAATACCATACTGTGTACAATTAGTATGTCAGTTTGCATGATCATGATGGATTCAAATGACATAATATTCTGTTAAATTGATTTCATAGAAAAAACCAAACTTTAATTTACATATTGGTGGGTCAAATCATATTATTTAGTTATTAGTGTATATAATCTGCATATTTCAAATACTCCTAAATGTTCTCATTACAAATTTGAATGATAGATACAAAATATTAAAATTAAAATGAAAATTAATGTGTTGTTTTAACTTTTAGAAGAATTTATTTTTTGTCTTGAATGTTTCCATGTTTGTAACACTGGTTTTTACTTGTCTTGTTATCAATATTTGTTAAATATTATTTGATATTAGATCAAGTTTTTATTTATTTTATTTTTACTTAAAAATGTTTTGTACAAATTAAAACATTAATGGTTTTCTTTATATATATATATATATATATATTTAGTCTTAATTTTAAATGTATATAATTACATATTTTTTTATTTTTATTTTGCATTTTTATAGTGCATATTATTCTGGTTTTTTCTTACAATATTCTATAAATGGTACTAAATGTCTGTTTTTTGTTTTTTTGTGTGTGTTTCATCAGTGATTGATCAAAATTATATTTAATTAGTTTTGTTTATCTGTTTTATAGATGTTATAAAAAAAAAAAAAAAAAAAAAAATAAAGATATGTTAATTTGTTTTGTTTCTATTAATCTGTTGCAGGATTACATTGTGGCTAAGCCAATGGCGTTATTGATCAAACCTGAAGAAAATTCAATTAAATAATTCTTCTTTTGCTTTTTTTGCTATAAAATAAACACTGTTCAGTATTTGAATGTATGCGAGTGTGTTTTATTTCTAAAAGTAAATTGAATAGGATAAACATAAGAGCTATTTGTTTAATTTAAAGAGAATTTGTTCTTTAATGATTATATTACTCATCTCACTTTATTTATCTTCTTTTTTAAAAAATTATGTATTATCTCTGAAAATGTTTGCCTTAAAATAATTCACATACTTATCTTAAAAACCAAATTTAAAAAAAATATATAATTGGTTTTCAACACCTTCCTTAAGCACCTCTTTAAATATCATTATATCAATTTACATAGTCCCTTTCATAGTTTCATTTATAATATTAATTTATAGTTCTCAACATTTTTAGAAACTCCAACTGTTAATAATTTTTTTGATAAGTAGGTAAGTAGATATTTTGTGAATTTAATGTTTATCTATTTTTCTTTTTGATCTGCAAGGACATTATGTTTGATTTTAAAACTTTGTCAAAATTAATACATAAGAAATTTGTTTTTGTATATTACACATTAAATTATATTTAAAAACAATTTATACAGTCCAAAATTATATACAATATGTTACACAAAAATTTAAAAACAAACTGGTTTAATGAATAATAACAATTAACAATTAGGTTTGCTTAGGCGACATACCTTTACATAATGTATTATTTATTTGAATTTTTGGAAAATTATATTATAATCTTTATTTTTTATGCAATAATACACGTTTGTTCTTCAACATTTATTTTCCATTACATGTGTAATGATCCACATGTGTACCTGCATGTATTTAAAGTTTGTATAATAACATTACACATGAATTGTATCAACAGTATATTTGAACAAAATCAAATTTTTTTAAATAGTGATGTGTTTAATGGTGTGCTCTAAAGTATTAACTTTATTTTTGACAATTTAAGTAGCATTAAAATTGTATACAACCATTCTTTTTTTGGCACCCTTATTTTTTGGGTAACTACCTATGCTTGATTTTAAAATGGTATATTTAAAATCTCATAAATATATGGAGTATTAAATATAAATAATTTATTAGTTTAAATACATGTTAGTATTAATGTTTTTAAATTTCATCAACCTATCAACGAGATATTTTAATTTTAAGTGTGGGTAGGGAGAGAATAGTGGAGCACTATTTAATAGCCACGCACCATGTTACCACACAAATTATGCTCCATTACTCTCCTCCTATCAAAACTTTAAAGTTTAATATATAAAGTAGGTAATCACCATGGTTTCACCATAAAAAATAAGGGTGACAAGAAATAATAATTTTGTAATATTTTAATACTGCTATTGTTTATTAAATTACAAAAAGAAAAATTCGAAAAATGTAATAATTACTGAGATATCGCAATGAGTATATATTATTAAAGCTCAAGAGCACCCTATTTCACTTGTATACATTTTGGAATTCAAAATCCGAATTTATAAGATCGTGTAGATACTTAAAAAATCCGTGTTATTTCAGGTTATTTTTCATGCATACAGGTGAATAACATTAATACACGTGAATACGGATAGTAAACTCATCTGCATTAAATTTAAGCGAGTAACTATTTTTTTTATTTACGTGTTCACGTAGGTACGTGTTAATTCATGTTTTTGATCGAGTATAACCTGTTTTTACAAAAATATGTTTGATATATGTTTTATATAGTTGGGCCCCCTACCCCTTGGGACATTTCTGGCTATGCCATTGCGAAAATATGTTTAGCAGCAACAAATTAATATATATATATTTAAATAGATTTAAAATTTAAATTAACATATACCCGAATTAATAATTACACAGTTTTCGGCTATTTAATACACTAGTAACGGGTATTAAATAATCTGGTATCGATATAAAATACACTGGTATTAAAAAAAAAAAAAACAGAACCTATCTATTTATATTTCGTGGTACACAATATATATTTGGGATTCATGTACACATGTACACTAATAAGAGTATACCACCATGATCCCTAATAAGGATCCATATAAGAGGGCTTGTAAAGTATTTCGTTCTGAAAACTAAGTTGTTAAAGTATACGTGTTGCGCTGAATATGTCAGAAATGCGCGAAAACATGTTGGTCAATAAATTACCTATTCGGTATTATTGATGGCTTAATAATATCATAACAATCGTATGGCCGTATCTGTAGAACGTTGCTCTACTCTTAGGAAAAACTATATGTAAAAATGTAGTTATATTTTTATTGTAAAATTATCTAAGAAAAAATAATTTGTATATTTTATCAGGTGAAGTGGCATACAAAAATTACATAAGTTACGAAGTATAAAAATAAATAGAAAGACTGTATAATTAGTCCGATTCGTGTATATATATTTGTTCAGCATTGATTTATCTGATATCAAACAAGTTGCAATATCTATTAAATCCGGCTTTGAGTTATAACTTTCTATGTTAAGTAGTGAAACTAACGTTCCGGGGGGTGGGGAGGGGGGTAAGCTTTCCAAGTCCCACCAATAACCGCTCATGTAACTATGTTAATGTGACATACACTATCATTGGTTAGGTTAGGTCTCTGTCTAATCGCCCGATTGGCGTTCGATCTTTTATAACATATTTCGAATAGTTATCTAATGAGAAACAGTATAGGTACCTACGCTACACTTCATGGTGTTTTCGTGTTTTTAGTGAACGATTGTTTGATATTATCTACATGCAGCAAAATGTTGTACAATTGGTTGTTATCTGTGGGTACTCGTACTTAGATACCTATAATATGCAATCCCGAATTAAGATGATTTTGGGCCTGGGGACAAACAATTTTAAGGGCCCATAAACATATTCAAAATATTGGTGACTATACAGTACTACCAGCCAAGGCCAGGGGCCCACAATATTACGATATCCAGTGGCCTGAGGCCATGAACCCCTCTTAATCCGAGCCTGTTTATATGTCTCACGGCTTTCCTATTGTTTAGGTTATGCTTAAGCATGTTAACTGCATGCTGTGTATACACCTAATGCTGCAGGAATACAGGAATGTAGGTATATAGTAATAATAATATTATATTATTATATTTCACTGCAAATGATTTTTTAAAATAAATTAAAATTCGGCTTGAGCTAAATCCATGGTTAGTTTTAAATAAATATCAATTTTTTGAATCTGTTTTAATACTGGAAGTCCATGTCCAAAATCTTTGGAAACAGTAGCTAACGTATTTATAAATTCTGGCTGGACCATTTAATTTCGAAAAGTTCTAGCCTGACTCAACGTGTCTGTATGGTTCTTTACACAAATTTTATCAAAAACTTTTTGAATTCTAAAATGGCAAATAGTTTTAAAAAATTACTAATTGAATGATATTGTTTGATCCATCAGATAGGCCATTAAACATTTCCACAATTTCATTAATGATTTTTAGAAATATAAATTTCTGAGTTTTTGATAGTTTCCGAAAGTATTGATTTTCGTTTCGGAAACGCAAAAATGTCTCTATGTTCTTATTCTTCCCATGTAATGCGTATTCGGAACGATATTTCCAGCAATTGAACGTACCTAATTATACCTAAATAACAATTGATCGATAATATTATATTTAACGACGAACGGATTTAATAATAATGAAAGAGCTTTTAATAAAAATAGATTTTTCATCACGGTTCTCTAAAACCTGCATCTCTGTTATCTAACTATAGGAACTACTTAGTATACTAGTTGCGTTTCAAATATAAATACGATACAAGGCGTATTCCTATAATCATGTCTAGCCCCTAACTGCGTGTTAATATGTTTCGGCCTCTGGTGATTAGATAAACATTGGCTGTAATTTTTAGAAGTATACCAAAAATAAAAATCCGGGATGACGCAATTCAAAAAGAATTCTGTCACACAGGATGCAGTCTCAAAGGTGTTTAATTTCGCGTGTATTTATTATTGAAATAAAAATGCTTCCCTTTAATACTGACTTAGGTTTACAGAAATTCCGTAATTTTTGTTGTTGTCGCACACAAGTTATATAACAAAATGGAAAATATTATTCATACACTAATATAATAATAATAATAATAATAATAATAATAATAATTATGTCTGAAGGCGGCAACGTTCATTATTATGAATGTGACGCGGCCGAAGTTTGCGGTATGGGTTGAACCATTTGATGATGGTAATTGTGGTGATATAAGTGACTGAGATGATGATTAGTGTTGGCGTTGTTGCTGCTACTGCTGCTGTTATTGTTGTTATTGGTAGTGCTGTTGTTGTTATTGATGTAATGGTGTTGGTGGGGATTGTGCAAGTGAGGATGGTGATGGTGGTGGTGGTGATGGTGATGTAGTGGATAGTCTGACGGATACATTTCCGGGTCGGGCACCGCCGGATATCCGGCCACCACAGTGGCAGTGGCCGACTTGAGGACCGAAGCCGCGGCCGCCACCGAACCGATTTTAATCACTCCGGCGCCGGCAGCAGACGTGGTCACGTTCGGATAACACACCGACTTGACGCCATGCATATCGGACATTTCGTAGTTTCTGCTGTCTGAACTTCCTATGCTCAGCAAATCGCTGTAAAATATAAAACGATGGTAAATGTAAGTTAATATGGTCGAAAACAATATGCTTAGGAATAGAACTAAGAACTAGGGCATTCACCCCATCACCTTTAAGACAATTATATTTATAAAATGCAAAACGTATACGAGATCGCAAAAATAATGTAAAATTTTCATATTTACATATCCACATCTATTTGTATAAACACGGGCTGCAAGTACTTCAGTAATAAGCGCTCATAGATACAATATGTACAGTGTACTCGTAGTTCGTACCTACTTAATACTAAACCCTGATTGATGATTCTATTTAAAATTATTATTTTTTACAAAACAAAATACATTTTTTATTTGTAGTTATAAGTAAATTATATCCAGTGTCGTGGTCGCGATGCAGAGTTAAATAAAAAATAAAGAACACGTGCGTCGACCGCAGTATATTACACGAGACAGCTAACTCCTATTTAACCTGTGTAATTTTACGGAAAATGATCCGATTTCTCTGTAGCTTAAACTAATGGACTGATTGTTTTGCAATTTACACGAGGTAGTTATTACATTATGTAGATGATACTTTTGTAAACTTCAAGTTGATTGGAGAATTGCAGCCTGAGTAATATGCAAAAGTATTAGCATAATTTTTACTCGAAACTCTATTATTTTCAACATGTAGTATAAGAGTATGTTGAACGCGTTGTTACCACCTGTTTGCAACGGTGGCCGTTTGTGGCGAATAAAATAAACAATTTTGTTTATTTATTTTATCGCTGTATTACAAATAGTATCGTTTTCCAGTAACATTCTAGCTACATGCATAGCTATACATAATATAATCATTTACTCAATTCATAAAACAACAAAGATATTTTGTCCTCATAATTTTTCAATTGATTAAAAAAACATGGATTAACTATATCGAAAATTTTAATAAAAAACTGAGTGATATCTCAACAAAAATTTTCCGTCAACTACGTGTGAAAATTTCATTAAGAAAAAAAAATTCAAGTTGGAAAAGTTGTGACATCAAAAAGGGATTTAAGTAATTTCTTAAATTCATTAGTATAGGAATTGTTTACAATTGTTTGTATTTGATGAAGTGCGATCATTTAATACAAATAATTTAACTTATACCTTGGCTACTCATAGTATGTACTTAAATATTGTTATGGTAATATTAATAAATTATAAAATGGGGATGCAAATATTCATGTCAGCATTGTATCTTTATTTTGTTGTCGTAAATATTAATAGGTGCCAAGCTAAGTTAAATTATTTGTTTTAAATATTATTATCGTATTGTATAATATGATATGCACGCGTTACGGACTAGATACAGTTATATAAAACCTAAAACAATAAAATAAAGTCTTGAAATTAATGCTATGTTGTAACTATTTCTTATTGTTATCAGTTATGGTGTCTACAGTTCGATATCGAGAGATCTTATCCAATTAACCGCCTTGTCGGAAGCTTTATCGAGTTCTTATATTGTGCTGTAATAGGTGCGGCGAGTCACTTCTTATATAGGAGATAGACTGTAATGAATGGCCGCAGTCACAGTCTGGATGATTTTCATTTTCCATTTAAGGGGCATTTCTCCGGAACGATTATGTCCCCTGTGAAGTCGGTTGAGTATTACCCAATCTTGGCGGGATAGGTGTTGTGCAGGGACCGAGATATTGAGCCTCTTAATTAGGTTACGATTATCTATTCTAGAATTCTGTCATTCTAATTTAAACTCTTCCACACCATACTGGTTTTCTATAAGTTTGGATTAGGTTAGATATGCAGGTTTCCTAGATTTTAGTCTAAGGTTCTGGTTTGACACGTCATGGTGAAATGGAAGTGATGTATTAAATAAGTATTTTGACCACTTTCTGTATGCAGCTTTTTTACATCGAATATGTGGCGGCAAGATTTTGCGAATAACCGGGAGTCCTTCTGTCGGCGTTGATTTAACAGTACCAAAGATAATGCGCATCGAGTGATTAAGTTGAATATCGATTTTGTTGCAATGTGATCTATTTATCCATACTGGAGAGGCATACTCAGCGGCAGAGTAGACTAGTGCTAGAATCGAGGTTTTAAAAGTGGGTATTGCTGCCCCCCAAGTTGAGCCAGTCAAATTGTGGATAATGTTGTTTCGAGTTTTGAGCTTTGCAGCAGTGTTTTCGATGTGTTGTTTAACATTAACTGTCTATCAAGCGTTACACCTAAGTACTTCGGAGTCGGATCGAAGTAAAGTCTTTTCCCATCAAATTGAATTCGAGGTTTGTATTTTGCCAGACGATTATTTAAATGGAATGTTGTTGTTACAGTTTTATCTGTATTAGGAATAAGATGCCATTTATATAAATAATCTGATATTTGTTCTAAGTATTTTGTCTTTATGTTCTAAAAAATTTTGCGCCCGAGGATAAATTCCCGTCCTTAAGTATCGGATATGATTGAGGAACAATATTCAACAAGACTACATACACATTTTTATTTCGTTGTTATTAAAGGTAGGCAACCAGTGGCGCCGAAGTAGTTTAAAAATACTCAAACACACAAAGCAATACTGTATTATACTGCTTTTTTTTGAATATAATATACTTTATAACTGATAGTACTATTTATATAGTTATATTTTCTACAAATATTACTATGTATATTTCTCACCACTAGCACCATCCACTCGCCCACCATCAACAAATTTAGTCGGGCGGTTGACCGACCTGTCACCCTAGTTCGGTGCCACTATAGGCAACCGTCATATAACCTTAAAGTAACTAGGCCATAATAATATTTATAATAATATTTTATATTATTAATAATAACCCTTATTATAGTTATATAACGCATCGTGTATGATTTATTTGGTTATAATAAGGTCTACATAGGAAATTTTACTTTTTGGAATTTCGATATTTTTAATAGTCTATGGGAGGGGGGGAATGTATCGCTATACTTAGGTGTATAGGCAGTAGCGGATCTGAAAATCATTTAAGAAAGGGGCGTATTAATGTCATAGAAACAGTAAGACTATAATTAAAAACTAATTTTTTTTAAATTTGTTTTTTTTTCGGGGGGGTTCAAATTAGTTTTAATATACCACATGTTTATATATTTATATTTTTTTAACTTTTTCAATAATTTCAGGGAACTCTGGACCACTGGATACGTACCACGTATCCAGTTCAATATAGTTCAAATTATTTTATACTCCGAAATGTTGAGATAAAAATGTTTAATAATCTCATTCCCAACATTTGTCTTTGTATATCTACAAATAATTCGACTAAATTATTCTAAAATTCTCGAAGAATAGCCTAAAAAATTAATATTTCAGTATCTGCAAAGTGAACAGAATATCTATCTATTACATATTATACACAAAAATTAAGTGGTTACAGATTGATACGGCGGTGGAAGTAAAATGATATCCATAAAATCCATCACATTAAAATGTTATCCACAATCAATAACTATAACCGTTGTTTACTACAACTGTGATTATAAACAATAATTTGTTTTGAACATGATGTTATTTAAATTTGATAATTAGTATTGACAAGGTAATCAAAAGATATCAGAAGACCCATTATTATACATATGGTATCAAAATAATTTAATAAATTAAGTTTAAAGTTATAGTTATGATTTAATGACTTATAAAGATGCATGTGGATTTAGTTGAAGCATAACCAAAAAAATGTCTAATGGGAGGTGGCCGATTGCTACGCCACCTCTCCCACAAATCCGCCACTGGGTATAGAAAGATTCGGAAATTTAATAAAATATGGAAAACACAATATTATGTTTGTGTTGTAAGCATTTTATAATAATTGTGAGTTTTTTACATAGTTTTTACTTGGTAGATACTATGTGGATATAGTGATACACACTAAACAGAAATTCTTGAAAAGTTAACAGAAAGTACACTATAAGTTGTACACAGGTCTATATTAAGATATACTGCAGTGCCTGTAGGTTGTAAAAACTTTGGTGCCTCTGTTTTACTAGCACTTTGTAAAAATATATTGTATACATTTTTTAAATTTTTTAATTAATAATTCATCATTACACAACCTGCATAAATAATGAAATAATATTTTGAGTTTGTTGGTCATTATATTCACATGTCCATGTGTAAAATACATAATATATTTACATTGTATATATGTACAAACAAGTAAAAACATACAAATTAAATAAAACTTTATTCAGATGTGTTAAAAATAAAAAATAACCATATAAAAATGACGGACATACTTCGTACGATGGGTGACTTTGCTTGTACGCAGTTGTCAAAAAAAAAAAAGTATAATGTGGTGTTTTGGTTTTTATGATTATAAATCATTAATGATTTTAAGCTAACATTTTAATAAAAATCGTAAATGTTATTTAAAATTATGACTTTTAAATAAAACATGTATGATAGTTATATTTTTTAATGTATTCAAAATTAATAAATCAAGTTCGTTTACTTTTCGAATTATTTTTCGATAGTAATGGTTTATCATTGTTTACAGAAATAAATTAAATAATTGTATGTATTCTGCTTTCCTAACTTCTTACCTATAACAGTGGTGCTTCCATCAGCAGTATCAGCTTTTTTTATTTTTTGATATTAACTCACGGTAAAGAAAATCCATGGCATTTGATGTGTTCTGACTACTGATTAAGTATTATAACAGATTATAAACCACAATAATATTAATATTTCCTAAAACTTTAAAATATTTTAGAAAATAAAAGACTATGCCTAAACACAAGTTTCAATCACCAATTAAAAATTTATTTTACAAAATCGTTATTTTGAATTTCGTAAAAAAAAATTATAGTAAAATTTTAATTTTAGATTCTGCATGTAGCGAAGAAGCTTATGGTTTTACAATGATATTTATTTTTTTTTTATCTGTGAACAACTTTTCTACCAGAAATATTGCTCTGATTTACAATGATAGTACTTTTTCTGAAAGTCAAGGGAGGTACTTTGGGTAGGTAATTTTTTGATTTTCTCAATATATTAAGAAAACCGAAAAAAGGGAGAACGGGAAAATAGGTACAATATTAAACAAATATTATTAAAGAAAAATGTTTAATGCATAGATATGTAATCATTTTATCAATATATGATATATATATATATATATATATGGTGTAACAAGATTATTTCAAATTTGTACATTGCAATTACATGTAAAAATGTCAAATAGTCCAGTTACACTCCGTATATTGTTGAAAAAGCAGCACTATCAACTGAACTCCGCTCAGAATCAATTTTTCGTTAATAATGGTTTATCGTTGCTTACAGGTATGCATTATATTCCCATCTGTACCCTACTTTCTCAACTTACCCCAAGTTCCTCCCTTTCCCTAAAAAAAAAAAATATCCATGTATAAACTATAGCGCAGAAGCATACTAATTAATTAAAAAGAAAAATACATGTAAATATTCGTGTTGCACTATGTATTTTAAGATTCTTCGCAATTCGCACTATGAATGTAGAATAGGCAATTTTTAAAATTTAACATATATATATGTTTAAGGGCTGGGTTAAATTTTTTTTTTTACTCTTACAGAGATCGATTTCGTGTTACCGAAAAAAAACGTTAATATGACAACAAAAAAGAATACTCAAAATTTCGCTTACACATCGTATCTTTTTTGTTATCAATATCACGTATAGCACTATAGCCACCTTCACCACCATACGCACCGTTTCATCTTACCCTATACCCTATCTGCTTGATATTTTTTCCGCCGCACGAAAAAACCATTGAATCATAAAAATAGGCCACAATTAACATAGACTCCCAAAAAATTCATTCAATTCAATGGCATTCCGTGCAGCGATAAGAATACCAAACAGCAGTTAGGAAAGTTTTGTTTAGTAGGTTAATCTAACCTAATCTCATATTAATCGTGCCAATACGACCAACTTACTTTAATTCAGTGATTACATAAAAATGTTATGGATAAATTAAGTTTTTTTTTTTACAAGAATGTTTATATTTTTTACTATGTTGATATAAACGAAATTAAATTGTTAAAAGTTACTGTGATGTACTATGTCCTTTGACATCCCGGAGGACAATTTATTAGTATTACCAACCAAGTCATTTATTAATATTCGGTATACTAATAAAAAATCATTATAACATTATTTTTGGCGTATAATTAGAGATGATCTCAAAAATTATACACCTTTATGATTTTTGAGATGCCGACTTAAAAAAATTATAACATCAGTTTTTTTAAAAATATTTGATTGCATATCTTATCAATAATTATATCACAATATATGTCGTTAGTATTTTGAATGGGACTATGAGAGATAAAGATGTTTTTTTACGTATTTAAAACGGTAAATCTTCATTGAATCTTTAATTAGATAAGTTAGCGTAATCACGGGACGGGAGAATTTTAGAAGTCAACAAGAATAATTACTGAATTATTTAATTATTCCATTTGCATACGTATATAAAACAAACCTGTATTATTTTCTGTATCAGTGTCAATTAATTATATTACATCTAGATTTCTGGTATAGTGAATCTTCGGTGATGGGTAAGCAATTATAGAATTTACAACACCCAGATATGTGTAATCAATTAGGAATAATTTCAGAAGAACAGTTGTGTTTACCCTACGTACGTAGGTACGATTGGAGATAAATTTTAAGGACAGGTAACGTTTATTAATTCTTTACTCATGACTCCTAATAATACTTCCTATAATAGTTAAAGATAATATCTAATAAGGAGTGGTATTTATATTCTTGTTTGAGTTACTTCTATCCTTACTATCCCTCTTTTTTAGTATTATTAAATTATTCTCTAATTTGCAACTGACAAACTGTAATATTTTAGATACTGAGTGGAGCAAAGAAGCTTATGGTTTTATAAAGAAGTTTTTTTTTTTTTATCTATTAACAATTTTTTTACCAGCAATTTTGGTCTAACCGTTATTAATAGTAATCTTTCCCCTAGGAAATTTCACTAAGGAGGTACTTTAGAAAGGTAATTTTTTCGATTTTCTCAGGAATTTTCCCAGAAAATGTGATAAACCAGGATAAAACGTAGGAAAATTAGGAAAATCCGTACACAATTAAACAAATATTAATAAAGAAAATATGTAAAGCCTATTTAATTATTTTACTGTAAAATGACTTATATATTGTTGACAAAGCATCACTATCAACTGAACTCCGCTCAGAATCGTTTTTTCGTAACCAATGTTCTATTGTTTCTTACAGATACACATTAAATTATCTATAACAGTGGCTGCATTCGTCCCCATTATCCTAGGACGTCTCTTTTTATACATATTAATTAAACCTTTTTAGTTTTTAAATTAAGACTAAACATTTTTATTTTTGCCTAATATGGTACTTTTTAAATTTTTGCGGCCCCAGTGTCCAAATAGGTTGCCGACTACTGAGTTATGGGAAAAACTTATAATGAGTCTTGTATCAAATTATTGAGTATTATTTAGATAGTGCGTAAAAATGTGATCGAAATACATTCATATACTTAAAACTAATAATAAAAACTAATATAACTTGTTATTTTAAATATATATCTATAAAGAACTCATAAAGTATCAGATATGTTTATCCAAATAAAACTAAATTTTTTAAAAATTACTTGGAAAATAAAAAAAACGACTCTTATTTACCAAGTAGATAAAACATGCAACTAAAAATGTATCTTATTGTTTTTAATTTTTGTTTAATGCACTAATAAGATATACACCGGAGCAATATTTCTGGTAGAAAAGTTGTAGTTTATAGATAAAAAAAAAATTTTAAAAAAAGAGTTGATACTGGGAGTTCCACTGAAAGGCCGCAATATTTTCGATTTTCCTCAAAATTTAATTCTAACTCTTATTAAAATAAAAAAAAAATTACTACATTACACTAAAGTTTTCTTTTCGACCACCGTGTATGCGACTTATAATAAACTTCCTGTCAGTTTTTCAAGCATTTCTGTTAAGTCTAACAATTTTATTCACAAAATACCTATCAAATAAAAATTACGTACCTATACTCACAAAACTAAAATGTCCATAAATAGTCCAAAAATAGCATTTTGTAATTTATATTTAATAAATAGCATTTCAAAATTTCATTACATCTATTTAAAGCAAATTTAAGTTTTCTGTCAAAATTTCAAGTCTTTATGAATATATTTTTAACTAAAATATAATAAAAAAAATACAAAATTAAAAATATTAAAAGCATTATTTTCGTAAATTTTCTTGTTCGTTCTACGTTTTATTTTTCGGTTTTCATCAATTATTATTAAAAAAAACTACAGGTGAAATCAAAAAACGATCATTTTACTCACAATCTACATTAAGAATGCAACAAATATAGGTCTGCGTGTAGGTACTACAGCTATATCTAGAAATTTAAAATGTTAAATAATTTGCAGCCAAGTAACCAAAATCTGACCAAAATTGATAGGTTTTTCGAACCGGAACAGAACAAAAATTATTTAGTTACAAAAAATTATTAATGAGTGCTTTACCAAGTAGTTTTATTAAAACCAAAATAGTCAATGGATATCCGAATGCGACATAATACACTATAGAGGCAAATCCTGTGTAAGATAACGGGGAGACTGGGCAATTTAGAAAATGCATGTAATGCATAAACGTATGATCAAAATCTAAAAGCTCAGAGTATATTGGGGCTATGAGTATGACGGTCACCCCCTTCCCCATCGTCCTCCTCTGATCCGTCACTGATATACGATATAATGTATATGATTTATAAACGCAACAATAACAGATTATATTATATACCTATTCTGTTATTGCTGCGTTTCTTTTATGAGGTATATGTGTTTTAATAATATAAAACTGAACACAATAATTTTTTTTTTATCATTGATATATTATTATGAAAACCGCCATAAGACGTAACTTGATCTTATAGACGAATGAAAGATATATTTTTATTTTAATTTCCAGATCTGATAAAAATTGTAAACCAATATTATCAATGTTTTTATATAATACCTATTACAAATCTTTTTTCAAATACGCAATAATTGGTTCCATATATTATTGAATTATTATTTGCCATTTTATTTTTATCAGAACTTCTTCTAGAAATAAAGAAATAGAAAAATTCCACAGTATTATAATGTCTATGTTATTTTCTTTTTTAATTCGTATGTAAACGATCCATAATTATATAAACTGTATACTTTTTGAGGTCTAATTAGGTTCAATTAGTTTAATTATTAGTTTTGGACAAATGTTTCAATGAAAATAGTGGCCCATAAATATCGGTTTTTGAAAATATGTGTATGAATTAGACATATGTATAAACAAATTGTAGGTACCTATAATTTGTATACAAAAGATGTATGATAGGATGAATAATATCGAGATAATATGTTGAAATATTCTTTGTATAGTAACTAAATACCTAAACATCTTTTTTTTAATATTTATAAATAAATATAATATGTGTACATATTATTATGTGTATTGTAGATATGTTTGCATTACGGCGTGCCGTCACTAATTGTTCGTTTGGTATCTTAAAAATATCGTATTTGTAAACTAAAAATGAAAATAAAAAGTTTGTGGGTAAGTTGCATTTTACAATATGAGTTTTTATTATTAAAAAAGAAAAAAAAAGTACTAGATAATAACTTAAATTATTTGTAGTTGTTCAATAGGTGTATACAAGTATAGTTATTTAGATTTACTTCTATGCATATTGTTCTTTTTTTATCATTAAGTAAATATCAATATTATTATAGCATGGGTTTGATGACCTCTCGATTGGATAAACGATCGGATTGGATAATACATATTATTACATATTTTTATTATTCTAGTATAGGTTATGCTAAGTTCGTAAAATATTATAAAATATTCTAATAAATAAAATAAGCCTCACGGGTAGGTCACTGTTGTAGATTGGCATAGTTGGGAAAGTAGGATGTATATTAGGGTGATCACATTTACATATTTATGATAAAAACCAAGGGAGAATCGGAATCTAATAATCGAATGAAGCTTAGCGATGGCCGACGATAATCCCAATAATAATCAAACGCTTAGCTTGTTATAATATTTATCTATATATGCCCTATGTTACGATTTCGGACGTATTGTTATAATTATTATTGGGCACAGACAATAATTGAAGCGGTATTATATTATGTAAGTACATATTATATGATACTGCATTGAGCCGGTATCAAAGTTATCCGAACCGAGCGGATATCTATATTATGCCATTTTAGCGTCGGATCGATACGCGGGTCGTTCACATTACGCGCGTGACGCGTCACTATAATATTATTATTGTATGTATTTGCTACGATATTATTGTAGTATTATACGGTTTTACGGTAATATGGTAGTCCCGCCATAGTGATAATACGGCCGTATGTTACATTATTATTATGGTATGCGGTTGCCGACTGCTGGGCGCACAATATCGCGGCCCTGCGTATTATAACCTAGCCGCGGCTATTTTCTGCGTATTTCTTTATATTTACTGAAAAACACGAACCCCGGCAACGATGTCTCGCCGGTCGTGCACACCACCATCAGGCACGCAGTAAAAACGTCAAAAGAAAAAAATATTATATTAAGGACACAACCCGGACGGACCCGAATATTTTATTAATATTATTTTACATATATTTTACGAGTATACATATACGCGTGTAATAATCTTTCAAACAGCGAACACGCTCGGCCGTCGTCGGTAGTCGGTCAGACCGAATATATTATTATTATTATTATTATAAACACATTGGGTTCCCGAGTCACAGCATTGCAGCAGCGACAGGCTACGCAAGTATACAGAGTCTTCCAAATTGTTTATTACAGTTTTGAGAGTGTAGGAGTTCGATGGATATAATACTCTGCGTTCCTGCTTTCAAAGACTGTAAAAATGATAAATAATTTGAAAGGCCCTGTATATATCAAGTAGGTATACAAGAGATGGTACAAACGTCGAACGCTCTTATTAGTACTGTTAAAATTGTTTTTTTTTTTATACGTATAATACGCGTTTTAGTTTCTGTAGGCGAACGCTACGAAAACATTTTTCTGTTGTGTTTTTTTGCTTTTCGACCGTTAATTAGTTTGAAAATGGCGCCGCGGTTGTCATCGCTATTTTGCAGGAGTAGATGCATTTTCGAAATAATCGCACAACTATAATATAAAGATATATCTATAATCAGGCACGTCCCTGAGGTGGGGCGACGGGAGCGACGGGATGTGATATTCTTTTTTGTAAATATCCATAATTCTTAAGTACAAGTAAGTCAAAATGCAACTGGTTCCAAATGCCGTAAAAATGATTCCGGATCTGGGATACTTTGATTGAAACAAGAATAAAAAGCTTCTCATTTATAAATTTATTATATAATATAAAATAATTTCGCCCCGGAGCGCATATATTCTAAATGCGCCACTGCTTGTACGTGTCTATAACGTAGTATAATATGTTTTTTTGGTAATTTTGTATTATCTTATTTTGTATACAACTTTTTAGAAATATGAATTTGGGGCCCTAGGATCCCTTGGAGCTGTCATTGTCACTAATTAAAAAAAAAAAAAAAACAACGTAAATATATAATTACCATTCAAGAAATCTAATAATTTTCTTCTCGAAAGTTTTAACTGGAGTTTTTCTTGTACCGACATTTGTAAAATGAAAAAAAAAAAAAAAATACTAATTTACCAATTTGCTTTTAAGTTGACCAACTATGATACATATAAATACACTTCATATTATGTGGTTTTTATTTATTCGCATTCTATACATTGTGTGCATGTTATAATATATTATATTATTGTAAGGTTGCATGTTTTCTCAATGATGGTTGTATATATATAGGTGTGTATGTTATGGAATTCAATTATTTAATTTACAAGTCCAACAATCTGACCCAGTTACTACTGGATAAATACAATGTAATACATAATAATAAGCGATCCAATACCATTTATGCGTAGGAATTTATACGGGCCGATTAAGAAAAAAAATAAAAAAATAATAATAATAAAATAAAAATTCAGTCGACCAAACAAAATATTATATAGGTATAACAAAACATAAACAACAACAATATACTCGTATATTATATTTGGTAAACAAGCACCAGCGCGACCTTGTATGCAATGCAAAATTTGTGCATCTTGTCGAATGTGTACATATACGTGTTTAAGCATGGTTAAACCACCGTTTAATAATAATATTATTCTTATTATTGTTTTTGTGTATCCTACATTAGTTTTAATTTAGTGATGTAATCGAAGTATGAAAATTGCAATGCCTGCATTTGAAAACACCATAGAGTAAATTTAGAATTCAGCACTCTGTAACGAATTATAAGAAAAAAATAAAATACATATTTCGCACATTATGGGTGTGTTACTTTGTTGTAGATGGTAAGTTTCGAAGTTATTGGGTACCTGCTACAGGTTAATTTAGTTTATAAACTTTAAGTGACGATCATTGCAATCGAAAAACGATTATGAGTAGAGTTCGTTATACCGGTAAGGTTATAATAATATTCGGGTTTTCCTTAATGTCAATCAAAGTAACGTAGAAATCAATAAAAAATAAATGATTTTTGAATTTTCTAGACAAACTGTCGGAATTTTATAAGAAAATGTTTTAAATAAAGTACCATAGGGCGACAAATGTACATCTTTTAGTAGATGTTCTAAAATTATTTTACTACCTAATCGAAAAAAGTGGTTTCCTAGAGAAAAACAAAATCAAAACTAGTTTCAAAATGTTTAAAGTAAATTACTGCAAGAGGGTTACAACGTAAAAAAATCAGATAATTTTACTCATGAAATAAGAATTCTTCAAGAAAAAACCATCTTAGTAAAGTTAATAGCTTTTTCGCTACACTTAGATACTAAAAACAAAAAAATACCTATGACGGTCTAATAGATTTCATATTACATCATAGTGTTTATAGACACTATTTACGGCAAACAAATTATGTATTATATTAAAATATTTTGAACAAAATGTATAAATTAGAACGTGTCCGTATTATTATTATATGGACATGTGGCATGCCAAGGGATTACGGGCGCCGCATCCAAAAAAGCCAATATTTATTCAATACCAAAATTAATCTTTTCAATATAACTAGGCTACAATATATAATTGCATGTTTAAACTACTGTACATACTCATTACTCATAGTTGGGATTTTTTTTCAAGCCTATGGTGGAGGGGGGTAGGAAGGGACATAACCACTAACCTCCTTTCTGCTGCGTAAGCCACTGTGAACAGGTTTAAAAACGTACATATTATAGTACACAGTGTCTTTATAGATAACGTATAATATTTTATAACAATTCCCCGTGAGTTATTTTATCCTGACTAATGTCATAACGAATAATAGTAATACACTGTAAAAATGCTTGTCAGACGGTTTTTCGCGATTGAAACCGGACGCGAATCGGACAAGTCATAGAGAGGTCAATGTTACAAAAAAAAAAAAAATCAAACAAACAAACAAAAATCATCCTACGATATCGTTGTGTTTATATTTTTACTGACGGTGAGAATATTGCACTATTCGAAAACGCAAATAATTTGATGGGGCAAACGTCGCGGTCGTTGCCGTATGAGCGACGACCATTCGTTTAATACGCATTCGTGACGTGCGTTAGTCCAGTAGTATTTTTTCGAACTAAATAATATTTGTAAATTATAAATATGACAAAACAGACACGTAAAGTTCGTCGTTGTCCTCGTAGTTTCGTTTGATTATCGTTCGTATACAATTTATTATAATCAAATACACAAGACTACATAATATTAAAGTAACATAATGGTATTATACGGGACTTTGGATATCGATTTTTCTAAACATTTTTGTATGCAAACTGTACATACGACATACTCAATACTTTATAACGCGTACACCGTGCGTGCAGTGGCGTCGTTTTGATATTTGATAAATTGGGGCAAACTTATCAAAGAAATCGTTGACAAATCGATTGGATTATATATTAGAAACTTAAAAACTAGTCGTCATCGCAGTGTGAAGAGAAAAGGAGTTCAGGCCACCACAAACAATATGTCTGATGTGTTCTATGTATGTTATCATGTTAGTTAATAGTTGGATATCTATAATACAAGCATAATATGTAATAATACGTATACAAGCTTATGACAATACGATATCCACTCAGGAAAACGTTTTTCGGTGAAATTTCGGGAGCTCTCGAAATAATTAATCATGACTACCGGTGTCTAGTATCTATGTACGGGTAAGTTGGATCCGTGAGGTTAACGTCTATAACCGTTAGGAAAGTGGTAAATTGACCTCGTCTGGATAAGACCATAGCGGTACTGTAACAAATTGAATGACAGTTCGTTTAAGAGGGCATAGTAACCTGTATCTCTCACCTACGATTACCTGTCTTAAATTATATGAAAGCTATGTTTGTAATTTCATCGCTTATTCAAAACCATCTTAGACGAAACCCTTGATATTTTCCAAAGATTCGTGAATTTGATGTGTAGAGTGTAGCACCTTTTATCAAAAAAATTGTTGAGGTGCATTTAAACTGTCATTTTTTGATTTTCTAAGGGGTTTTCAAAATAATCGGGAAGAAACTGGAAACAAAATTATAAGCAAGACGACAAATATTTACGGCGAGCCACGGAGTTTCCTATTACATTGTTTTTATTTTGTACAATTTATGTTTTCTGCCAGAAATATTGCTTCAATCAAAATATTTTTGTTGTATTTTTAATCTAGTTCACGAGTAAGTTCTTTGGTTTTCAAATTTTATCTGTAGTTTTTTTAATAATTGGGAAAACCGGAAAAAGTCCTAAAATAAAAACTGATAAATTTACGGCGTTACGATTTCATTATCTGAAATTTGCATGCATGCTATTTTTTACCAGAAATATTGCTCCCATATTTAACAGAAAAACATTATTAGTCGTACTTAGTAGACCGAAAAATAATTTAATGTAATGAAGTTTTATTTTTATAAGAATTGTATTATTAAATTTTGACGAAATTTGGAAAAATTACGGCATTTCAAATTATGTCTTACCGAAATTTGCTCCGAATCGTTTTTCGTTAGCAATAGTTTATCTTTGCGTACAAATTTAAAAATAATTGTATGTATCCTACCTTCCCACTTACAACAGTGGCTGCACCCATCCCTATCGGTATCAGCTAATTTTTATAATTGATCGTCATTTAATTTGTCTTTCTTAGATTAGGATTTAATATACGAAATGTTTTTGTTTTTTTTTTTTAATGAATTACGTACTAGAATATTATTTCACTGGAAATTTTTGTTTTGTTAGTTTTGGTATTTTACTAGTAAATAAAAATATAAGTGTTCCTTGAAGTTGGGGGATAAGAAAAAAAATACATATGTATATGTTATTATAAAATTTATATAGCTTCTGTTGCAGTGTTTTGCATTTTTAGTGGCTATACGGTCGGTATTATTGGGTTCTTTCTGACCGTGGTAAAACATTTTAGTTAACTATATATATATTATTACATATGTTACTATATGTTGTTAGCCGTAGCGGGGTATGGCAACATATAATAAACGCGAAACATATGTATATCACATCGGTGAAATATTACGAAGGGAAATGGGAACTACCCTTCCCTCTCAATTGAAATGTTCTTAAATACACGCCTTTTTTTCGTATACATAATATAGTCGATTAAAACAGGCCTGCAGGACTGATATACAATTTGTGTTGGTATACTACGTTCGGCGCCTTTGAGATCGGCGGGCGTGGTCAGCAAGATAATATATTGTACACGTATGTTTATATCCGGTCCCGGTAAGTGACACGAGAAAACTGTACACCCCTGAAATTATTATAGTAGGTATGATTGGGTATGATAGGTATTATTCATAGGGATTAAAAAATAAATATATTAATTATGCGATATTTTTAAAATCTGTTTTTTTTTTTTTTATAGTTACTGAATATAGAGAATATCTGTTGTATGCAATATTGTGGTTTCAGTTCAACGGTTTAAAATCATTAATTAACGTGTCCAGTGTAATATATATAGGTACATAATATAGTCGTTGTTAAGTCAACAAAATCTTTATAGTTATATATGTACAATGGTACTCATCACGAATATTTTATTAAAGCTTTGCTTTGTTGTAAATCGCATAATATGTTTATTTGTATTTTATATCGTTTTCAATGACCGCGCCCCTCGGGACATTTGTTAGTAGTCTTGGACCCTATATTATGTAGTTGATCCCGAACGAAATGACGGTATTAACCCCATGTAACGTGTTGCGTGGGGTCGCCGAAAACAAGAGAGACAAAAAAAAAATACATTACTCGGTTTTTTTTTTTACAATACGCTATAGTTTATCCCCCCCGCTGAGTATTATCCGTGGACAGACAGTATACAGCCGCGAATGGTCAAAACGAGTACCTACACTATTATACATATACCCGAACAATATGGTAGTTACCAAATTGAATTTGCATATTATAATTTATAATACGTTGTTTAGGCAGTTACATCCGAATTATTTCCTGGGAACGGGATATTTAACTCTGAGTTCCGTAGCTCTGAGCTAACATAGTTTCCAGGCTTAAAACTGATAGTCTTGCTGAAACGTTTAAAAATATTTTCCTGTTAGTTTATTGTTGTACGTGAAAATAATTAATAAAAATCGTATAAGTATACATTTTTGAGATGTTTTTAAAGAAATCTGTAGGGAAATGGTACTAGTTAAATAACTACGCACGGGTGAAATTTAGAGGCAAATGCCCGGCCCAAGTTAATAACAATAAGCTTGAGTAATGGAGAGTAGTACTTGAAGGAAAGGGACTAAAGATACATAGAAGTAAAACAGAGTATATCTGAGTTTGGAGAAACAGGATAAGACAATTAACAACAATAAACGGTAACGTTATAGGCGAGGTTGAGAGTTTAAAGTGGATCTTTTGTTTATCAGGACGGTGCACAAGGTCGGATGGCTTTGACAAGGAGATAAAACATAGGATTAAGTGTAGCTGGATAAAGTGGAAAGACGCGTTAGGTGTTTTATGTGACAAGAAAATGCCAGTGAGAGTTAAAGGTAAGTTCTACACAAGTGGGGAGAGATCGACAATGTTGTATAATTCGGATTGTTGGGCTGTAGAATTAGAAAATTAGAATAAAGAATGAGTGTAGCAGAGATGAGAATGTTTAGATGGATTAATGGAATGAAGAGAAAAGATAGGATAAGGAAGAGTAAATAAGAGGTATGGAGGTATGTAACGAAAGGCCTACCATTCATTGTAGATAAAATGAGATAAAATAGTCTGAGATGATCTAGGCATATTAAAAAGAGAGAGGAATGAGAAACAGTAAGAATTATAATGATATTAAACGTAGAAAGAAGGAAGGGGAAAGTAAAACAAAAAAAACATGATAGGATGCAATTGAGAATAATATGATGTTAAGTGGAAGTTAAAGACGAGAGTGGTGGACCTCAAATAGTTGGGATAAAGACGAAGGGGAAGAAGTTGTATTTGTTACTTGTTAGTTACCTACATAAACGTTAGAATTTAATGTTACTGGATAAAAGTAGTATACAAATATGTAAATAATAAGAAGTGTAATTCAAACACTAATAATATAATATGCGAGTATAAAATGTGTGAATGAAAAAAAAATTCAAAATTTTGATCGACTCAGACCGAAAATTCTGTTAGAGCATACTGCAGTACTGCACTATGTACTATGTAGAGAGTACGGTATTATACACATTATAAAGTATAAAATACGGTATTTTTACATCTGAAGTGGGAATATCGTTTTCGATTTTTGAGGTGGAACTGCTGTATCTAGATATTATCAAATAATGTTGCGTGCCTTTTGTTGTATTTTAATTGTGTAATCTCGATAACATAAGATATGTATATATTCCGAGTATGTTATATTATTTAGTGTTAGGTTTAAAAATATAAGTAATTTGAATAAAACTTTTAAAAAAATATATATTTTTGGCATTGAAAGGTGTATACGTTGTTATCGGTGGTAGTTTTTTTCTATATTTTTAGTGCATTAACTATAATAATTGTATATTAAAAACCATCCCCGTTTGTGATTAGTGACAAATTGAAAAAGACACGCGACTATAAATCGGTATATTATAATATATTACATATTATATCCATATACCTACGACCAAGAGGACAATATTAATATTGCTCGAGATGAACACAGTCGGGTACGAGTGACTGTATAACAGAGTGTCGTATTTCAATGGCACGCGTTAATGGGTACCTACGAAATATACAGACGCGAGCAAATTAATATTGTTCCGATTCGAGTGTTATTGAACCAAAATTCCGGGCCGTGTACCTACAAAATCTCACGGAACAACGAAATGTGTTATAGGTAATAATATTAATAATTAAACGAGTACCTATATTGGTATGGGTATATCTATACGCAGGCGTGGTGTTGCACCGATTCCGTTTGAATATACCGATTTTCGAGTGGTTTTCTACGTAAAGTTTTTTTTCCTCCGTTTGCACTCCAAACGTATAGAACGAAACTGTTATATAGGTGGTAATAATATTAATATGTTTACCGAACCGGCCAAACAGTAAATAATAAGACGTATTATTATGCATAAAATCGGTTTCGTTCTCCTCGATGGCGACTCCGCCATCGAACATCGAATAGAAACGTCAACGAAAATTCTGTAAATGTATAGTACTAAAAGGCCTACACGGGTCGTCAACTCCAAGACCGGTCCGATCCGGCCAGGTTGTAAAAATAATTCAGCTGGGAAAAGCGTGAAAAATCGTATTGAAAGGAAGGATATAAAGGGCAATTTAAATTATTTATGTTCAAAACGATAAACCATTGTTAAGGAAAAACGATTCTGAGCAGACAATTATTTGTCGTATATTTTACCTAGATTTCAAGGTAACTAAGAAATCAATACAAATTATATAAAAAATATTCTGATTTATTAAAGAAACGGAGAAGAAATTCAAAAAAATAGTCTCAATTAGATAATGTACCAATTAGGTCAAAAATACTATAAGAAATGTACCATAAAATTTTTGATCAAAACAAGGTTTGTGTTAGAAAAGTAAACATTATAGATAATACATTTTTTTCGCTCCGTTCAGAATCTAAAACTAACAAACTATATTTATTAGAATTTTGTTTGAAAACAATGTAACATTTATGTTATCTTGAAACAAGCTAAAACAAGTTAACTCCGGAGTTGTCTGGTTTTTCTCTGGATACAAACAATACCTGACGGCTCCGAATACGTTGTAGGTACACCCAACTTCTTACACACGGATAATCCCTGGATTCGACCCGTTGCCGAACAAAAATTATGGTTAATGGAATATCCTCTATTGAAAATAATCAAAACGTGAATATTTTGCCGAAAAGCGGAGCTGCCCGACGGTTGTTGCACAAATCCCTTCGGCCGTAGACATAATATATTTTTAGAAGCCGTTCGCGATCGACCGGTATTGTTGTTATAAATCAAAGCTGTCCGTCGGACACGTCACCGGCGGCGGCGGCGGCGGCGGCACCGGCACCCTGTATATAATAATACCTGATAATAGTAAATGCAGTAATCGCGAGCTTCATACACAATTAAGGCGGCGCGAATCTCGGCCGTTAATCATCGAGTGCGTCGCGCAGAGTCGCGCAGTCGGCGGCCGGTGGGCGTGCCGCCGTCGTCGTCGTCGTCGCGCAGGTGACCGGGTATAAAACAATATTATAGTATAGCCACATATTACGGTATAGCCACATATAAGGTACCCACGCGTACAGAGGGTCTTCCACGGCGTGTCCTATTAACCTCCTGTGCAGTGACAATAATAATACGACGACAGACAGTTAGACGTCCGGTACACAAAAGGACTTATTTCCTATCTCCCTGACCCAACCCCCCCCCTCCCCCAACCGGAAACTATTAGGTAGGTGTATACGACCGTATACTGTATTATTATATAATACATTATATTATTATGCGGGTACTCGGGAATATTATCGAACGGGAGCGAATAATCTGGTTTAAACAAAACATCGTGTGATTACGACAGTGGAGGCGGCGGCGGCGGCGGCGGCGGCGGACGGACGGAGAGAGGGGTAATTTGTCACGGACGCCGAAATACAAGAATGTGTGATTAGCGAACACGTGTTGTGTCCCCGAAAGGGACGTATCCCCGGTTCTTTTCTGCAGCCACTGCCGCGCCGCCGCCCGCGACCTGTCCCTTCGACCGGTAATTTTCGCACGCGCGGGCGCGCGCCGTTTTTTCTAATGTATATTATTATTATTATAACCATCGCGCGAGCACAATAATATCGTAAATCTATAGGCACCACTACCGGATTCGGCCGACGACCGATATTACCGGCCACGCGCATACTATATACAGAGTGATTTTCAGTTTTTAGATACTGGGCGAAGTGTACTATGATTTTACTGAGATGCGTTTTTTTTTCCGTGTATGTAAATAATTATTTTTGTACCAATCAAACGCTTTACAGTGATTTTCGTGTAGAATTTTTGATCAAGTAGTTGGTGCATTGAAGAGGTAATTATTCGAGATTTTCTTTGAATTTTCTCGATAAATCGATAAAACTAGCAATTTTTTATGTGATTTTTATCGATTTTTCATTTGCCTTAGCAACGGGAGAAAAAAAAAACTAATAATACTCGGCTCAGAATCGTTTTTCGTTAGTAATGATTTGTTGTTGTGAACAGATATAAATCAAATTACTCGCTCTCTCTCTCTCTCGATATATATATCTGTATATTTTCTCTCAGTGGGGATATACATTAGCTGGATAAAAATCTAGGAAGAGAAATAGTTTCATCATAATCAAAACCCTGAGCCTCCCGTGGTTCTAATAAATTTGTATTGATGGTATACGGAACAACTAATTGTTTGTTTTACACAAGTCTTAAAACTCATTTTATGGTTTAGAAACAAATTGTAGGTGGTAGATTCTACATAGGTACCCATCACATTGTGAAATAATATTAAGTACCTACATAAAAATTAATTAATATAAAGGTGTTTTCAAGTAATTTACAAAATAACTAGTTGGTATAAATATTATTTACACATATTTTATATTTGGTGCATTCTTTCTTAACTTAAGAAGATTCAAAGGTTTTTACTGTTGTATTTAGTAGATTTGGGGGATCGTTAATTTACAAGAGGTATACCAAAAATAGAGCAAGATATAGGAACTTTTACACCTTGGAAAAAAATTAAGAAAATACGCTCAATGAAGACTATTTAGTAGCTCGTTAAAATATAGTTATTAATATAACACATATTTATTTGATTTTATTGTCAATGAGATTACTCATACTCGGCCCGTAACCCATTTCATACATCACATGTAGTTTACGTAGTAATATAATATATTTTCAGTGGATAGTATACATTTTTCTGCGGGGGGAATACCTCCAGTCACCCTAAAATAAACACTAGTTGGGTTAAATTTTATAATCTATACTGGTATAATTTTATATTTTTACGCAGTCCATTAAATGATTTCTGATACTATAACCTTACGAGTTCACCCAACTACACTCAGAATCGTTGTTTTGATTTCAATGATTTAACGTTGAGTTTAGTATATAAATTAAACTATTAACTATATTTTCCAAATTACCGACCTTCAACTATGGAATAGTCATGGTGTTAAGCACCCGAATTCCGAGAACCGTATAAATACATATAGACTTGATTTTCAACCCCTTCTTTTCAAACCAGATGCGTAAAATGAATATTTTTCTAAAAATGTTTATAATAAATTTTATTTCTATTTTATTTAGACAATATAACCCTTTCTTACTCCTTGCAGCGTGTGGTCTAAATGTTAAACTGTTTTACCTCACAAATGCGATATTATTACAGTGTTATATGTGTATCAACATTTTAAAAAAACCATACACTTTTCAAAACTGTGTTGAAAGAAGGAGTTTAGGAATGAAGCTGTATACGGAATACAGGTAATATTTTGAAAATATATTCTTAACGTTATCAGTGGCCTAACCAGGATTTCGAATGGTGGTTGGGTGGGGAGGGGGTTTAAATACGTTTTTGTTTGAATCACGGCGTGGATAAGTGAAGTTTTGTGATTTGATCCCCCCCTCAAAAAAAAAAAAAAAGAAATGAATCTATACAATGACCAGAATAAATTTTACTCAAAATCTTCGTAGATGATCGTCGAGTCATAAAAATCACTGTATATAATATAATATATACACTATCCACTACTGTACATGTTGAACGGTTAACGCCAATGCGGTGGATACATTATTATACACTAAGTATATAATATATTGTTGTAAATTATAAATAATAAATTATAATTTATGATATACCACTGAAGATTTTTTTTTCCTTTCTTTCTGTGTATTTTAACTGTCTGTGCATAGACTGTAAAGTCATTTTTCCTGTATAACTTTTATACGAAAATCTCTGTAGACTACATTATTGTCAACTGGTTGATAAACCCGAATTATTGTTAACATGATTTGGTGATATTTTCGGAGTAAGTATATTTGATTATTTTTTTCATTTCAATCATTATTCTCGTAAAATTGGAATTTATATTTAAGCTTTATTTTCATTTCGTTTTTAATTATTTATCCCTACTCCATGTGGATATTTTATAAATGCGTATTGTCGTTTTATTTAAATGACTATTCCCCCCCCCCAATTTCCTTTATAAGCATAGACTAAACAAAAAATATATTAGGTATGCATAAGACAAAATTCTAATATCGAATTTAGTGTTTATATCAATGTTTACAATAATTTAGACTAGATGAGTGGTATTTCTATAATAAATTGATTGCCATAACGATTATAGTAATGGATCGCGATAAAAGAGTCACCCTGTTTAATGTTTAGTTAATGATACTTTCCCGTGTTCGTATAATACAATCACATCACATGATTTATTATAGTATGGCATTTCGTAGCGATAGATTTTCGAAGCGAACTCGGCGAGACCGATTTTGTCGGATATCGATAATATACAAAAACGGCCGTGGTGGGACACCGAACGATTTTCGAACGAGCAAAAGTAATACAATCATTATATTATATTATTTGCAGCAGTCTGCAACATAATATACACTGTGTCACGTATTTTTTTTAAAAATTATATTTTGTAAGTATATTACACTGTATAGCACAGTGGGTGACACATCAATTAATGAGATTCTTTTCCGCGCGTATAGGGATTTTTGGAAGAAGTCTGGTTTTATGCTATATTCCATTTAGGACTGGCCCTCGTCAATTTCCATGCTACGCACATGTGCTGTGTGCTGGCAGTATGCAATACAATTGACAAGTTAACTAATCGCTTTTAGTCGATCTTTTCCGAAAAGACCGCGGTAATTTTTGTTTTAAAATAAATATATTAGATATAAGTTTAAGGTTTTGAGGGTTTTGGGCGGTCAACTATTAAAATATATACCTAAAACATGTTTGCTCCACCTTTATTATGTTATATTTATATGATTCGCAGCTAAAATTTTATTTGAAACCTATATGCCTAATGTATTTGTATTTTACTTAATAATATTTATAAAATATTACGTTAATTATACAGGCTGTCCACGAAGTTATACCCCGAAGATAATAAAGATAATAAAATTATGTTTTTTTTTATATTACTCACAGGGATGAGGACTACACATATGTACGAGACATATGAATTAATTAACGTATATTGAATTAATTTTTAAAATTATTTTTTTCAGAAAATTTGAATGTATTACACATTTATATCTAGTAATGTAATAATGTAATGTAATATATGTATATAGTAACAGCTGTTTTAAATTCTACTGATCCGTTTGAAAACTGATATTTTCGTGTGATACAGTTAGGTTATTCTCTATATAACATCGGTTTTCACACGGATTAGTAGAATTTAAAACAGCTGTTACTTAGAAAATATGTATCGGGTATAAATGTATGATACATTAAAATTTTCAAAAAAGAAATTCTACAGAATGGTTATCTTAAAATTTTCCGAAAAAAATATAAAGTTATTTTAATTAAAAAAAAAAAATTAATTTATATATAAAGATTTGTACTCCTCATTCCTGTGATTAATGTAAAAAAAAAAAAACACAATTTGATTATCTATATTATCTCCGGAGATATTAAAGGGGTATATCTTCGTGGGACGGCCTGTATAATTATTTTTTTTGGTTTCATTATTTGGTCTCAAAATTGCGTAATGCAATTATTATAATGATAATTATTAGCCGTAACTCAGCAGATTTATTATAGTGAAATCTTTAGTTATTTATACTAACCTGTACTGCAGTATAGGTAATTTTGATGAATACTAGTGTAATATATCATAATAACAATACGGAATACAAAATAATACATGAGCAATTTAGGTGTACGTAATAATCAGTATTGTATCCAGAGTTTGTCAATGAACGGTGGTGGCAAAGAATAGTAATTGTAAATTATATATTGTATTACAATAACGGAACTAGGAAGAAAAAAGTACGTGCAAGAGCGTCCGTTTTCAAAAATCCAAGGGAGTGACTACATATTATTTTGAATTATTTCGACCTTTATATTAAGCAGTAAAGTTAACACAATGTCACTTTTAAATAAGAAAAAGTCAAGGGGACATGTCCCTCTTGCCCTTTCCCTCAATAAACACCCATGAATGTATATCTAAATTTATGCTAGATTTTTTTTTGTAAGTTATTTTGCCAATTACATATCTAATTGTGTATAGTATAAGTATTTATACTTAGTTAATAGTGTTATATAAACATTACTAAGGCAATACAAATGTGCAAAAATTTGATGGGTAATATTTTTTCAACGTTGAATAGTTTAGATTATTGTTTACATTTTAACACAGTCAAGGAGGGGGAGAGGTAAAGATCTCTTTCGATACGCCACTGTTGCATTCAAACATATAATATTATTTAACGAGTCTATATATTATATTTTAACAAGGAAGGATTGTTTTATACATGTATAGAAAATTAGAAATGACGAATAATAATTGCCTGTATTGTGATTCACTTAACAGTATATGAGTTTGGTGTGAAAATAAAAAACATTTGTTAATAATTTATAGCCTTGAAAACATAAAAAATCGAAACACACATTGTTGGTTCGTATTTTTCGGACTACCTCCTGTATTTATATTTTTATTTCCTCAACCTATTCTTATTATGTTATCGCGGAAAACTTTTTTGTTTTTTTTTTCATGTTTTCAAAATAAAAACTACACCGATGAAACGGTTTGTCGTACGCATACGATAGTTTTACCATAATTCTGTAACCCGGTGAAAAAAAAAAAAACAAACAAAACCAAAAACAAAAAAAAAAAACAAAAATATCGGTGTAACTACTATATATTGTACTTGATAACATTTCATTTTTAGAAACTTTTAGTTGGAATAATGTGGGTATTCATATAATTTTTAGATTTTGAGCGGAGCGAGGCATGCATTGGTTTTAAAATGATGTATATTTTACTTTTTTTTTCCCATGAATAACTTTTCAAGTGTAGCACTTTTACTGGAAGAAAATTTGACTAGAGTGGTCGTTTATGAAGGTAATTTTTTGATTTTCTCATGGGTTTTCATAATAAATGGGACAATTTACGAAATTTATTATTTTTAAATCAGATATACTTTAAATTTGCTCCCAACCTTTCCAAATTCTCACCTACAACAGTAGCGCATCCATCGTACGAAGTGTGTGTTCGTTATTACATACGATTAAGTACAGCGTGTATCAAATAAATCAGTACGACACTCGGGTCATTTTTGTTTAAATCAAGTGTCGGAAAATGTATTCGGCATACTATATTATTATTGTTGTGACTGTATAATAGGGCTAATGTAAGTTTCCACACGAGATATCGCAGGTAAAAATCACCCATGCGTGTGCATGCGTAAGTTCCAACCCGAAAAATAATAAACCACTACGTAAGTTCCGACACGAATAAAATACATACAACGCACTACTATCCTCTATGTAATTAGTCACTAAATAATCGTAAAATTCATTTATTTTATTAATTTCTGGTTTTTCAGTTATGAATAATAATAATAATAATAACTAAAATTAAAATCACCAACAATCATCTATTAGATTAAGAAATGTTAAGCCAAATATATGTACCAGCCACTTAACTAATTCACTATTTGCAATATTAAATTCTTGGGCAAAACCTAAACTTTGAGTTTTATGGTACCAAGCTTTGCCAAAATGGAAGCGATATCCCCATATGTATGCTATTGGAAAGATAGCTGTATCAGTTGCTTGGTGTATTGATTACTCAAAGTCTAACACAAATTTATTTGGGTTTATTCCAACTTTATGTATTTGCTTTTAATAATTCAGTATATATTTTAAATGATTTATCCGGTAAGAAAAATGAAAATGATTTTGGATAATAATATTATTATTTCTGTTCGTGTAAGAACTTATGTGCGGGTATACTTTTTTTCGTGTCGGAACTTACATATGAATCCGCTTCCTTGCTATGTTTCGTGTTGGAACTTACCGAACCACGTATAATATTATAAACGCAAACCCTGCATCCTATACATGACAATGAAAACTGACCTGTGCTGCTGAGGCGTCCGGTCGCGCTGCCGTCGGTTCTTGAACCAGTTGCTAACCTGAGTGAGTGTCAAGCCCGTCCTCCTGGCCAGGTCGCGTTTCTCGTCCGGTGTCGGGTACCTGTTCTTCAAATAGCAGTCTTTCAGCGCATTCCTCGACTTCTCCTTGAAACAGTATACCGTCTCCTCACCATCCCATATGGTTTTGGGCAGTGGGTACTTCTTGCGGAGCCGGTACTTGTCCACGGCGCCTAGAGAACGGCCGCGGATCTTCTCGGCCTCCAGATAGTGCGCCTTGAACCATAACTGCTGTAGTTGCACGTGATATCTTGAATCGAAACTTTGGCTCTCCAGTATGGCATATAGCTCGTGGAACGCGTTCCTACAACAATACATACACAATGGATATTACATGTACCTCGTAAAAAATTGATTATAGGAGAAATGTTCGAAATTCGTGAATTATTTATTTTCGGTTTGCAACTTTGTTTTGGAGTAGCTCTTGAACATGATGCGCGCGCGCAAAAAATAACGATAATGGGCTGTAGTTTATAAATATTCTAATATCCTTGTCAAACGATAATACTAAATTAATTTCCTCGGTTCGGTGGAGAAAAATTGAGTCATTTTAAACGCGGAAATACACACAATTGGTCGAGGCTACAATAATCAGTTCAATAATAACGTTCCCCTAAGCGCGCACCTGTTGATTGGAAACCATACATGACATAGATCATTTTTTAGTTGTGCAGTGAAATTAAAAATCTATTTCAACACAGTACTTTTCTTTGTCAAACCCAAATACTACATATTATTTGTCTGGTTAGGTGATATTTTAATGGTTATTTCACAATGTATAGTTTTTGATTCTGAGCGGAGTGAGGAATATATTAGTTTTATTATATGTGTGCTTATTATTTTTTTTATGTCTGTAAACAACTTATTTACTAACATCTTGCTACAATAAGAAATAATAATAATAAAAACATAATTGTTTTGTCAAATTTTGGATCTAATTACTACATTGAGGAGGAAAAACATGCACATTAATGACGTTTCCGATTTTAAATTATTTAGATTTTCGTTTGCTATAAGAACTCTTGGTCCGAATTCTAAGAGAAGCATATTTTCTGAAAAACAATTTTGGATTTAGTATTTTTGATAATTAAGAAAAATGGAGAAAAACTGTAGGAAAAACGAAACATTTTTTTGCGACCTACCTTACGATAATTGTTGGAACTTAAAGTTTTCATTGTATACTTAATACTTTTTATAGATGTAGAAAAATTACAAAATTGTTTGGGTTTTTGCTTTTTTGGGGTATTTTTTTCATTTCATATGGATAAAATTATTTTTCTCCTAAAAAATTTTTGAATATTTAATACATTTGTCATACGTTGTATTTAGTGGCAAAAAAAGCTTAATGTATTATATATTTTTTATTATACAAGTTTAAAGTTTTGACAATTTTAATTGAAATCGTAAAAATTACGTGAAATTCGTGTATTATTTTTCAGTTTATGTGAATATAATTGCCAAACAATAGTTTTTTTTTTAAATGTTAATAATATGAAATAAGATCAAATATTTTCTAGTAAATTTACTTATAGACAGAACATAGGGCTAAAGCCCGGTCCAGATAAAATTAACACAGTAGAGACTTCGTTGTTAACATTTTTCAATAAAATAAATTGTCAACAATTTAAAAAAAAAAAACTTACTTCCAGATTTCAGATTAATAAAGTAATGTTATCGACTACATTTCAATGTTCGGCAAGATGTTTATAACGAAGAATACATAAGTAATATCAATATTTCAGAAGCCTAAAATTTATCTTCAAAAATATTATGAGAAAAAGACAATTTGAAAATATTGTTTCAAACAATATAGCACGAATTTTTTCCCATGCGGAAAGAAAAATTCGTTTTCTATTTTGTTAAAAACATAAAAGTTGATAAAATTAGAAGACGTCATTAATTTGTTGCCATCAATTTGAATACTGGGCATGCAGTTTTCAATAATATTGATTTGGTCTGGACGTAGCTTTAAACATTTATATGGATAGAGATATACTTTCAATTTATACTATGAGGTCACATGTTATGCATAATACTATGTATTTATACATAACATAATATAACATTATGTTTATGTACATTTATTATTGTAGAACATATAGGGTGTCCTATCGCGAGAAAAGAAGTAGTAAATCTTCATAGGACTGTATGTACACACGTGCCATGCTTCTTGCGCAATAATACGAGGTGTACCAGCTATCTATTCTAATTACAATTCTTATTCCGAAATAATTATACATATCAATATATCTTAATATTTTCCGTTTTTTTTTTCTACTTCTAAAGGCATATATAGGTTTATGGTATTTCAACTCAAGTTTTATACTGAAAAAAAAAAAATATCTCGTCACTATGTTGTACTTTTTAAATTGACAAAAAGACATACCTGTGTCATATAATTTGATGATTTAAGCTATTTAAAGTGCCTTATTTTGGGATTTAGACATTTACCAATTAGACAATTTAGCAATTTTCAAAATTGAATTTGCTTTTATTGAAAATTATACAACATTAACCTAAGTCCTTCTTCTCAGTTTTCTGAGACCAACGATATAATATTGTATTTTATCGTTTTCGAAAAATCAAACGTGAGTTGAGTTTCACCATTGACCGTTTATCACGATAATTGCGTTAAATTTCATTGTGATGCACGTCCTCTTATATTGCCGATATCGATTATTATGTTATGCAAATCTTCTATTTTTTTATCAACACAGTTGTGTATTACAAGTATAACATTATTAAATTTAGAAAAAACTGATAATTTCGGATTAAATCGTAAACAATATATTTGAAAAGATGTTCGTCCGTTATAGTATCCAAATGTTCTTATTTCCATATTTTGGAAATGTCCATGTTAGGAATTTACTAAACTTTAGACTTTAGACTCTAAAGTATACATTTCCGACTGAATGGGACACTTTATTTTTTTTTAGAAAACGTTAAAAGCGTTTTAAATTTAGTTATATTAATTATTTGATTTCGATAAAATATAATAACACTGTAGCGAATGCCGTTTTCCTATAATGTTTCCAAACCCGGGAAACAATTATTATTTGTAATAAATACTATAATTCCTCCTTATACTTTTATAAAATAATATTTCAAATAGCATTTGAAAAATAATTTTCGAATTTTTGAAATAAAGACATTTTCACAAACTCCTTGAAATAGGAATAAATCTGAAATTTAACAACATCATACATATTAGTTATGTAATATTATGTGAAATAATTTTGGTATATGATATGATGACGTAATATCGTTTTGAATTAATCAGTTCATTATTATAAAACACAAATTATGTCGAGTTAGTATTTTGTTTTTAATGCATTGTCTATACCGACGTATACGCGTTTTTGTCATTTAAACTTAGGTGTATTTACAGTATTACACTTGTAATAATATATGTATAATATATGTATAATATATATATATATATATATATATATAAATTTGTTATAGAATATTTTTAATAAATCTTGTTTTTCTTATTAATTTGAAAAAAAAAACCATTTACAAAAATAATTTGGTTAGTTAAGTCACGTAGGACTGTATTGTTGTTTTATGATATTTTTTTTGAGATCATTCGACGGTATCTACAAGGTTTGATAATCATGTTAATCAAGTGAATCAAATTGCATCGACTGCGTTCAGTTTCCAAGCTCATTGTGGACGTGGTTTATATATATGTTTTATGTACCTATATTACATAAGAATTAAGATTTTTTTTATGACTATTCCCATAAACTAAAAAAAAAATAGATTGCAAGAATAATTATTTGTTTTGGGCAATGCTAGACCATAATAAATTTACTAAGCTATCATTTTGTTCTAAAATATAGATTAGGTATATAGGCAACTATATAATACCTGAGATGGTGGTAGCGTATGGAAAACAATTTATTCTCAGAAAGATAAAATACATGGTTTATCTATATTATATAACGTTAATTGATCGTATAATATAGTTATCATAAGTACAAAATAAATGTATTTAATTTTCTACAAAAACTTGATCTTCAAATTTCAGATCACGTTGCTTATAATATGTTGTAAATCGAAATCGATGGCCTCGTTGATATATAATAAATATTGTTTACACATACAACAATCGGCGAGCGCAAGGCATTTCTGGAAATATTAAATGGCATTTTGGTATGCGAGTCGCGTAAAAAGTTTGTCACTTCCTCCATTACCTCGCGGAATATTATAATAATATCAATACATCTCACACATAATCTACATACTGACGACTGACCACGGTCCATGACACTCGACAAGAACGATATATTTACGCCAAATTATATTGCGTTATACCAGGTGATCCATTTAAGTGGGTATACTCATTATCTCGGAAAGTATTAACTTTTTTCGGAATTTTTTTTGCTAGAAAATTTAAGAAACATGTCGCTTTACAATTTTATATTTATGTTATTTTTTGGGGTAAAACCAATGTCTACTTTTGATTTTCAAATGGCAACCTACATTGAAAATTCCATAAATAGACGGAGTATTAATTAAAATAAATTTTAGTGTTGAAATTTTTGATTTCTGTCAATTCGTTGACGAGTTGTTCCACTTCTAAGTTTTGGTTGAGGGAGAGTAGTGGTGCAATATTAACACGTCGCACGCCGCACTGTACCACCACATAAATGATACTCCATTACTCTCAATATTCTTTTCTGAAACTTTTTATCTGGGTGATATATTAGAGAGATCATGTTTTATTTAAATTGATTGGGAAAAACATAGGAAAAATGGGAAAATTTACGTTCGTGTACAAAAGAAACTTCTCTCCGAATCGTTTTTCGTAAATAATGGTCTATCGATGTGTACAAATATATAAATAAATAAATAAATAAATATATATATATATATATATATATATATATATAATATATAAATATATAAATATAAGTTAAATTTCCTACTATATTATACTTTTCTAACTTCTCACCTACAACAGTGGCCCACCCATTGTGCTAAGTATGTCTGTCTTTTTTTTATATTATTACGATTTTATTTCCTTAGCAATGTTCCCTATAAAGATAGGTATAGTATAAGCGTATAATAAATTATAATGTATATATATATATATACCTACAATGCATTCCATTCTTACTGGCCCATTAAATCTGGGGGCTACCCTTTATTGAATAACAAAATATAGCGACACTACCTCGTTTCTGGTTTTCTATAGTAAGTACGTATGTACGCATCATAATAATACCGTATAGGTACTTGTTTATAGTATATTTTCCAATCATAGCTCCTTCATTATTTTTTCTCGCAGACACCCTTTAGATTTTGCCCACAAATCTTTTATATACGTTTTTTTAATCTTTTTATAATATAATATACATTATCATAATATCATTTACTGCAGTATATAATAGTTCCATCATCCGGTATTTTGTTCGTTTTTTTTTTTGTCAGAGAATTTACATTTTTTTTTTATATATTTAATTTAAGCCTATGTATACATTATACATTCATAGGAATAATATTTTTGCAGTTCCGGTAATGTGATTTTTCTTTAATTTTTTAAGCACGCACTTTATAAACCACAGTGTGCTGAACAATTATATTGTTTTTTTTTTTTTTTTTTTTTTTTTTTTTTTAATTTTGCGTGTAATGCGTAATTCAGCGGCATGCTTTCAGTTTTTTTTTTCCCGTTTTGTTATGTTCGTGCATAAAATGTGGCCTAATACCGCTTATCGCGACGAAAACATTTACTTCAGCAAAAATTTAAAAAAACGTGAGAATTGGAAATTAAAAAAAAAAAAAAAAACGCTACGTCCGTCAGGAAACAATAAATTCGCGTATGTCTAATATGAAATAATATAAATATATGTAGAAACGCTTTCTGTGTTTCCGCTGATGAAAAAATATCACACGTATTATTATTATTTGGCATTGGACAAAATAATAATATAATAACCTGTCGGATTCTAACGAATCGCTAAAAAATAATAGGTACAACGATAATATAGAAAAATAAGAAGATATACAAAATTTTACTATGTATAAAACAATATGTCTCTCTCTTCTTCTGGCTTTTACAACTAACTCTAAGAATTTTCGTCACCAAAATAACTTCACTCCATTCATCCCTGTCTCGTATCACTTGTTCTTGTATTCACTGATTTCTTATATCCTCATATTTGAGAACATAGATCCACATTTTCCTGCAGGTTGTATCGCGATGAGGAATTTTTCTCAGAAGTTTCCGCATTCTATCGCTAATCTAACATTATCAATATTTCTCTTTTCTCCTCATTATAACACGGCCTAACTAATATTGTAGTATTTTCTCTTTAATAAAACTGGTCACATGCAGACGCCAGGGGTTTACCTTGTTATACAACTCCCTAATGTATTTTCTTCATCAATTTGTTGTTACACCATAAACAATGTATACACAGGGTCTTCCAAATTATAAATGTTCTGGTCAATTTGTTTACGAACACTTTTTTTTTAAAAAAATTGCCTCTGGAAAAACTTTTTGGAATCATATAGGTATTCTAAAATAATTTCTACACAAAAAATGACAAATTTTCAAGTGGAATATCTCGTCAACGGATCGACAAAAGTTAAACATATTAACACCGACATTCATTTAAACTAAAACTTTACTTATATTCATAAAATATTTAATTTAGGTTGCCTTTGAAATTGAAAACATGGTATTTTTTTCATCCCTCCCCCTGAACATGAAAGTGTATAAAATAACGGCAATATAACATTTTAGAATATATGATACCAACAATATTCTGTGAAAAAGTGACCGAAATATACACAATTTGAATAAATCTATACGTAAAAATTGAAATACAGTTACTAAACAATTTTACTAATAGACGAGGTATAGTCATAGGTTTTAAAACACATTTTGTTTTTTCCTCAACACGTGAAAACAATATTTTTCATTTGAATTTCCGGAAATCGCTTTATGTTTTATACGTACAACATTAACGATAACAACGCGCAGACGCGGTCGACGTTAGTACGCACATTATATAATATAATATGATATTATTATGTATATCAACAATTTGTTTTCGACAACACCTGCCGTTTGTTTACACGCGTCAAACTTGTCGTGTATAAATCACTAAAATAATGTAAAATGTATGTAATATACACGTCACTGTTAGTTATTTTAGTTCGGTGTATACTGAACGTATTAACAAAAAATACGAAATCAAGTGGACTGATCAGAATATTCAAAACACAATATTGTATTCTAATAATTCTTCCTGGTAAACAGTATTATTGTTATGCGTAATTTTGGTTAGGCAATCAACTTAAGGCAAACAAAATAGTTAATATACTTGTCAAAGGTATTAGTACTATACTTTTAAGATGACGCTACTCATGTAGTGGCGTATTTATATACCTACCTATTTGAAATCGATTTTGTCAGCATCTGTCGGTTTTTCCATACGTGCTCTACTCTTTACACAGTTTCAAATTTTTAAATGCGGTTTTCACTAAACGATTAGTATTAAGCTTTAAAGAAGGTCCCCGTTGATTTTCAGTCCAATCGGGGGAAAAAAAACGAGCTGTTTTACTCACTGTAAAACAATGCTTTTTATTCGACATTATGCACGGACAAAGCCGCATATATACAGATATTAAAGAAAATTTGTAAAAGTTTGAATAGGTTATTGTCATCATTTTTCCATTGCATATATGTAGGTAATAATATCAAAACATGTGTAGAACGTGACAATAATTTAAAAATATTTTTAAAAATGCACAATTCATTTACATATGGTGCAAGGTTCCGAACACGAGTGCCCATAGTTCATGGGTAAGATGGGTTATATACTCTTTTCCCTGAAAATATAATACGAACAGGTAATTTTAATTAATTCAAATTTAAACCTTCATTTAACATATATTTTCAGAAGTTTTTTTTATTTTGTCCCTTCCCCCTGAAATTTCATCAATGGATGCCCATGGTTATGAAATATTTTAAACGGATATATAAAGTACTTAAAAAATATATATAATTGAGTTTTAAATATTCTATACATCAATTATATAAAAGCCTTAAACATATTTTGTTTCTTTTCTCGCTGAATTTTAAATTATTTTATAAAGAATAATACATTAATTTTGTTGGTCGCGTTTGGTATATATTGTTTCTTTTGAAACCCAGACATGTAGTGGATAACTCGCGGCTTTTTTTTTGTTATTTTCTCTATTTTTCAAAAAACCTACATGTTTTAATTGGTCTCTATTTTTCTTGCGGAACAACGATTAACTACAGAGCACGCGGTTTTTGTTTGAAACGCGGTGGTCGTTTTGACCGAAAACGAATATTCGGGCTCGTTTAGTGCTATAATATATACGGGCGGAAAAATAAAATCAAAGAATATCGGGTTTTTATGACCGGCAATAATATATTATATAAGTTCGAATGCATATATCATGCATGTATATTATATTAAGTGCCGTGTTTATAAAAAAAAAAAAAAAATAAAAACCACGCGTTTGAACGGTACCGAGAGGATATTATAATATTGTTGAATGCGTTTTAAACGAAAACAATAAAACTACGCGCGTATACGAAAACTTGTAAGTACCTATATACATATGAATACGTGTACAGGGTCTTCCAAATGTTATAGGTATTATAGTTTTGAGAGTGTATACTGTATAATATGTGGTTACGAGTATATACATAGGTATGTAAGACTCCACGATTCTGCAGCTCTCAAAACTGTAACGCATATAAAATTTGGAAGACTCTGTATAATATTAAACGTTATTATAGACTGGCGAAACGTAAACAAAATCGATTTCGGGTGGTAACATTGAACATAATATAATAATATACACGCCACAGCCTGCAGCGTTAAGAAAATGTTAGAACTGCACACGATACCCGTTTCAAGGCCGTAGTTGGAAAAAATTTAGAACGACCAACTTATTTTTTTTTATATTGATAAAAGGATCGTTTTTTCAACAATTTTAAACAAATTTCGGGGATTGGGAGATGTATTTTAACCTTTGGATCTCTTTCTTAGCTTGACTACAAAGTAACGACTAAATCGATTATTTTTTCTTTGTACGATGACTTTGTTATGTCATAATTTCCACGTTGGTTATTTTAATTCGAAGCTTCAGGGAACAAGAACCGTATAATAATTACCATTATTCGTCGGAAAGAGGCATTAATGAAGAGAAGACACTAAATTTAAGGGTATAGGTATACTGAATTTATGACTAATTAATAGACCAACTAGAAAAGATTATATACCGACAGTGAAGTCGTTTCAATATTTTGAAGATTATAGGAATGATCGAGTGGACTGAATTTTCTAATCGACGATGAGAAAAGGGGTCATTTACTAAAACACCTACTTTAAAAGTAGGTATATTATAAAAGTGTCGACCACTAAACTCCGACACTGACACAATTTCATCTTTGACTCATTAACTTTTAGGATGGCAAAAAAATGTCAAGAATACAAACAACTATTGCATTGAATGTATTGATAAGTACCTATATCATTTTTAAATTTGTTGACTTTTTTCCCCAATTTCAAAAGATATCTGACCGCAGATTATTAATATTTATTAGGGCACATAAAGAAAAATTCTCTTAGACGTTTTTTATTTGAATTGTTGATATTTTTTTTTATCCTGAAAGTCAGTCAATCTTTTAATATAATATTATTATTTTTACAATCCATATAAACACTAAATGATATATATGTATCGAAGCTTCAAGCTATATAAGAATAATGATGATGATTAAAAATCATAAATTTAGACTGAGATATAATAATCAAGTAAGTCACCTACTCCTTAAATGATGCTATTGAAAGAATATAATACTGTAGTGCAAAACATGTATTTTTATAAAATTGTATAAACCTAACCTAACCTCATAATTTATGAGTTTATAAAATATGATGAGCCATAAATATTAAAATAATATGTCTTATTCATATTATATTCTTATGAAGACCCCAAGATGAATTTTATTAGGCAATTTATTATAAGATCGCTAGATAGTTAGGTATTATAAAAGTTAAAATTTAAAAAAAAACTGATACTGGGGATAGGTGTGCCATTGTTGGAGGTTGGAAATTGGGAAGATATAGGATACATAAAGTTATTTAATTTATATCTGCAGTAAGTATTAATAAATCATATTCTTAACTACAAACGATTCAGAGTGAAGTTCGGTTATACATGTTTTGAAATTCCATAATATTGTAGATAACCATCAAAATTTGACATTAAAATTCTTATAATGAAACAAAACTACATTGCATTCATTTTTTTTTTGCCCACAAGTATAATTTATAACGAATTTTATTTAAAAATTTCTATTTAGTCAAACAATTTTATCCACAGAGTACCTATAAAATAACAATTTTAGAAAAATCTCGCAAAATTAAAATGTCTACTAATAAATAAGTTTAAAAGACTCAAAAATGTTCTAAAAATTGACCATATCTAAAAAGGGCAAATTTAGGTTTTCTATTAAAATTGAAAATCTTTACGAATATTTTTAACTGATTTATAACGAAAAAAAAAATTGAAAATAATAAAAGCATTATTTTCGTAAATTTTCCCATTCTTTTAACCTTTTTTTTGGTGTTGTTCAATTATTAAAAAACCTACACGTAAAATGAACAAATGTCTTTTTATTTATTAATAAAATTAAAAATTCAACAAAAAAGATCTCTTGTCTTTTTTGTATTAATATTTCTGGTATATAATCGTAAAAATTTAAAATAAAAATATCATGACGCCGTTAATTTTTTCGTTTTCATTTTTATCTTTTTTCGGTTTTTTCCAAATTATTATGAAATCCTTTTGAAAAATTAAAAAGTTACCTCCTTAATACACCGTCTAGAATTTCTTTTTAAAAAAATGCTACATTATATTATGTACTTCGGAGCAAAACTTCTTGCTGAAAAGTTGCTCATAGACACACGAAAAAAAAACCGCATCATAGAACCACTAACACCAATAGATCTCTCGCTATGCTCCGAATCTAAAATATAAAATATGCGTAAGTATTTCAGAATCAAATAAAATCCCTTGAAGTCTCCCCCGATATCTGGCGAGGAGATAATAGTAGAGTGGTTGACTTCATTAGGTAACTCATACGCACACAATTTCTCTCGGCCATGGTTTACGAAAAATACTAATCATCACGTGCCTATGCATTTCCCATATAAACACGTTTTCGTGTCAGTGAGAATAATATTATATAATATCACATTTCCGTTAAAACGTTATCTCGTTTAGATTTTTAGCACGTGACAACAGTAAGTTGTTGATTTATATAACTTCACAATCGGGTTTCTTCGAATTATTATAATAATTGTTGTTTTTGTCGAGTCGAGATACTACGTTTTATTACCCACGATAATGTTTCCAAATTATGGGTGTCCGCCGGTATTTCATAATACTTGGTAATCGGTCTAATACTATATCAGTAGCGTGACGATGGAAGAGGATGTTTCCCTAATGCAATTGCGTGTAGCCTTACAAATATGTAAAAGGGAGAGGGAGAAGAATCGGGATAGTAATTTTGGGTAAATTTTTAAAAACTTTGCTAGTGGGGTTTTGAAATATACGCAGCTCAATGTTTAGATACAACTTAAACACTTATTATTAGAACTTACAATATGTATTTTTATACTTAACCAAGTATAAACGTATGTATATCATAATACTCATTATATGATGGTGCGAAAATTATGTCCTAACCTCTGGAAATCGGTTGTTTTTTTGAAATAATCAACTAGAAGACATCTAATAACATTTTGTTAACGGTTTAAAGTTTAAATATGTATATATATATATATATATATATAAGTATTCATTGAAAATTTTGATTCTTTTGAGTATGTATAGCAATTTTAAATGGTTCACTTAACGTTCCTAATCTCCTTGTTACTAAAACGTTCAAAGGGCACTTCTGCTATTTACGAGTAAGAAACCAGTCTGAATTATATGTACCGATACATAAATAACATCATACTGGCATAATCATACCTTAAATAGTATACTTAGATACGTAAACAACTCTAAATTCCCGGGTCATATTTAAATATTAAAAATAGTTAATTATTTAAAAATACTTTTAAGTTACCTATATATTCCTTGTTTATCACGCGTTTTTTTACTATATTTATGTATTTTACTTTATATTTGTATTATTCTACACCTTTTCTTGTTACGCTTGGCGTAAATAATAAAATAAAATATAATACGAAATTGTGTAACTATATCTTACCGATGAAAAGCCACCAGAGCCCTGGCGCGGAGGACGGTTTCTTGGCCCCGGAGCAATTCGCTGGGCGGCAGGTACCACAGGAACTGGGCCAGCCTGTCCACGTCGCCGGACTGTTGGAGCGCCTCGCACATGCACGACACCTGTTCAGAGGAGAACGACAGGCTGCGCTTGGTCTGCAGAAAATCGGACACGGTGACAGACCCGCCACCGCCACCACCGCCACCGGTGACCACGCTAGACGTCACCGAACTCTCGCTGAGCACATCCATACAACTGCCAGGTGACATACTCACGCTACCTGCGCCGCCACCGACCATATCCTTCGGCGACACGTACGACATAACGTGTTCGCGCGATCGGAAATCAAATGCGCGGGGTGATCACCATCACGGTATATACACGCACCTTTAAATCGATATGTTGTCGTTAAAAGACGGATGGTTAATACTTTATTATGCACCAGTTATATTATACGTAAGTAGAAAGCAATAAACAAACAACCAAAAACGAATCGTGAAGGAACGTGGCTAGGACGGACAAAATTTGCGTAAAACGTCTGCAGCCGAGTGTAAGGTTTCGTGTCGGACGCGTCGACGTCTCCGTCTCGTCTCTGTCGTCGTCGTCGTTGTCGAACACTGAAGACGTCGACGGCAAAACGGGAGAGAGAGGCGCGCGCGCGCGCGTGGTAGTAAACGGTAGCGGACGCGTCCAACCGGTAGGAGGGTCCCAGCAGGTTGGTCGCGCCCCCCTACCGCGTCACGAACGCTGTCATTGGTCGGGCGCGACCGTCGTTCGCGGGAGGTTCACCGTCCGCGGTATAGTCGTCGCCACTGCCGCCGCCGCCGTTGCCGTTACGACTTTTGATTTTGTACCGATTTTCTGACCGCCCGACAAACTTTCCGCTCGCCCTGCATAATATTTTGAAATGTGTGCACGGCAAGAAACATTATAATAATATGTACGAGTAAATATGCGCATCGTATAATAATACGCTTTTTTGGATTTCAATAGGTAAATAATGGGGTTTTTTTTTTAAAATTTGTATTGTAGTTTACATAATATTCTGTATTTTCTTTTAATATCATTCGCGATCATTTTTAATATTATGGTCACAATTTCACGACAAGAACAATCTCAAACAGTATAGGTACTATGATATTATTGTTATAGTATACGAGTATAATATAGTTTTTCACCAATTATCGTTTTGTCGTCGGTGTTTATACGATGATTGTTATTAACAATATTATTCTACGTTAACCAAAATACACATAGTAAACGATATAATAACAATAAAAAAAAGAGTATTTATAACGAATATATTGCTTAATAAATTTGTTTGGTATAAGTAATCGCAAAAATTCTTTCTGAAGGGCTGCAAATTATATTACATCGTAAATTAGAGAACTGCTCCCCTAACTATGTAAGTTTATCGAAAAATACACGGGCCTGTGCAAAATCAAAACGGGGAACATGATAGACGAAAAAACGCTATGAGCTATTGAAAGAGATGTTTTATAACAAAAGAAATATCAGAATATATGCCTAATAAGCATAAGCGCAACTGGGGGGGTACTAGGGGATCTTAAGCACCCCAAGTTTAAAATTAGCACCTCCAATAATACCCAATAAGTTGTTTTATAGTATAGACTACTTAGTATATACTTAGTATACTATAGTATAGACCTAACCTTAGTATTTTATTCATTGTATTTCATAATTAACAAGCAGCACAAAATATATATTACCTACAGACAATGAATGTGTGTATGAAAAATAAACTTAAAAAAGTTATGATACATTTTTGTATAAAAAATTGTTAATGAAATGTGTTATTACTTATTATAAATGTCGTGTAAAGGAGATTGTGGGGTTGTTTGTTTTTATGGGTCTGTGATGTATCTTTAATTTTGGCACCCTCAAATTTGACGGTCTAGTATAAAGATTGGAGTGCAGGGCGCCAAGGTTGCCATGTTTGGGGGGAGGGTCAATCGCAAAGTATTATACGGCATAATTTAAGTTAGAAACTCAACAAACAAGTGACCAAGGGGAATCCGGCCACCAGTGGTGATGGTTGGATATAGTCGGGCAAGAAACAGTGGTGCGTAATTAGGATTTTGGAAATGAGATATATTTAATTTAGAAATTATGCCATAGGGGCAAATAAAATATCAATTTTAAATTTTAATATATATTTTTTTAAGTAGATAATTCAATCTGCACAACTATATAATTATAATTTGAATAAAATAACTATACGTATCAACAATTATTTTAAATTTAATATATTTTGTTTAGAAACAAATAATGATATGTTTTTTATTCTGATGATTTACCTTAATGCCATTTTCTATTCAGCGATGGTAAGTTAACCAGTAAAAAAAAAGTACATAGAAACTGCGTGTCATTCACTTAAAATGATCTAGGCATTTTTTTATTTGTAGAATGAGATTCGATGGTACTTTTACACTTATACAAATACAAAGATACGACTCTGAAAAAAAAATGTTTTTTTGTCTACCTTTTCTATATGCAATGGAAACCGTTTTATAGTATGTACTTAATTTTATGTTATGTTTATATAGCTACGTATATTTTTCACAACATACCAAACAAATTTAAGGTATTTATTGACCACGTATGATTTATGCTATCATAATTATGATCAGATCTTACTAGCGAAGGAAAGAGAGGAGAAGGTGGTGGTAGGGAACTATTGCTATATAAAAAAAAAATATTTAAAAATTGAAAATCTGTTACATACGAACTATTCTAATAGGTATTGCATAGATATTTTTATATTTGTTATGGATATCATATTATGGTGAAATTGCCGACTAAAACCTTTATGGCATACTTGTATATTGATGATATAATAGGATAATCTTAACTTAAATATACCTTAATTAAAATAACCTACTGCCTAATATTTGCAATTTATTTAAAATGTCCAACTCGCAGGAGGCAATCGCTCACAACAATTTTATAATCTATATAAAACCAAATAATAAAAATTAAATCAACTCAAAAATGTCAAATGCTTAAAAAATAGCTAAAAACTCGTCAGGTTTATACGATTTTATTTAATCGAACAAAAAAACAAAATCGAAAATAATGAAACCGTTATTATTACCGTATACGTTTCCCCACTTTTTCTATGAGATTTCCCAATTAATTAGAAAACTGCACGGAGGATAAAAAAAATACCTCCTCAATGCACCAACTAGATAAAATTTACTTTCAGAAAAATTCTACACTTAAAATCGGAGCAAGATTTCTAGTAAAAATGTTGCCTGCAGACAAAACAAATACAAATCACACATCATAAAGTAAAACAATTAAATATACCGTTTAGAATCTAAAAAATAATTTTTCATTTTTATACCAACAAAAGGATGTATATTATAGTAGTTAGATGGTAGTTGGATATTATATAGATAACTGTATAACTGTTTGTAGAGTAAATATATTTTAGAAATATGTGTAAAGTAATGTTATAAATATTATCATGTACATAATCAAGGGCGTCAAACATTTAAATTTCAAGATCATGTGTTGGAATATGTTTTTTATAATTGCATTTTTTAATTATATTGACCCTATTGTTAAACTGTTAACATGTCATACGTATAAGTACGTATAGTTCAATACTCAAGATAGGCATATGTCCTCTCTTATCCCCCTACACCCATGTAAACAAGTAGATAGTATAATAAATTAATTGGCAATGTTCGGCTAACTCGTCATGGTTGATTCGTTGTGATACCATTTTATATAGAATAGAAGGGATTTTCGTAAATTCTTCCCCAAAGGGGAACTCATATTTTTCGATAAAAATACTTAGTATTATAATATTAGTAATTCGGTTCGAATTTAGTAATAATTGAAATTGAACCGTCTTCCCACTAAGGCGCTAACACAAACAATTAGAAATTTCGCGCACGGTTTTAAAAGTTCTACAGGTACCAATATAATCTATACCGATACAACGTAGGAGGGAGGGGAATTAAAGACCGATGTTTACAGAAAAAAAAAAAAAAAAATTGTTATTCTGTTTTTTCCCTTCCGATTCTCGTCTGTGCACCGCCGCCGGCGGCCACCGTAATCGCGCGTACGTTTCACGCACGGGCCACGGCGACGATATTATTTTTTATTATTATTATTATGCTGACTGCGGTTTTCCGTGCGCGCAGTCATTAACGCGCGTTATCTGCGTGTAGGTATATAATAATAATATGTCCGTACAGAAAAACCGTTTTTTTTTTTCGGACGAAAAACCAACAACTGCGAAAAAAAATATCCATGACTGTTCGTATAGTCACGGAGTTATAGCCGCTGACGATGAGCTAAGCGTTTACAGACGCCACGGCGGCACGTGTAACACGCGTATTATAATGTGCTGCAGTATTGATCAACGACGCGACGGCCGCGTCGTGATGTACACTGTACGCACTCGGCCGAAATAACCGATGGGAACCCGACGAGAAATCGTCGGGTTAAAAAACAAAAAAAAAATGCGTACACACTCCGCACAATTGCTTTGACCGTCGTTTATTTACGTTACGCGATACTATGTTACGGAATCGCGATGAGCGATTTACAGTATATAATTTACATAATAATATGACGTACGGCGTCGCTCGCGAACGGCAAGGCGAAATATTTCGGTCGAACGTAATGGTTGAAATTGGGCGGGAGGGGAGGGACGAGACGTCAGGAAGATAGGGTCAGTGATGTCGAATAGCTATAGCGAATATTTATCAACTTTTTTGCGCCTATAATGAAACCGTTTCCTCAGCTCGTGAACAATCGTAATTTTATTCTATTTTATACTACAACACTCAGACTATGCGTCTAATACGATCGTATCAGTGACGTGGCTCTGGAAAAACGATTTCTCGCGATGCAGCTCGCAGTTTTGTTCATAATATTATACCAACTCATATACGTTATTATTAATCCGCCTATACGCGTTCGATATTTGAGATTTGTGCGATTTCGGCCACGCGCTGCAAGACCTTCTTTTTATACCACCGCCGTTACTTACTCGGTGAGTTCGGCATCGAACTTTTTTTCCTCGTTATGTCCTCTATAATAACCGCAGCGTCGGTAATATGTGACGGTTTTGACGTATATAAATATTATATTATAACGATATACGAGTGTGCGCGTACAATATTATAATATACGATCGCGATAAATAACGTCGTGAATTTACGACCGTGCATTATACGCCCGAGTCGCAAGCCGCTATTATAGTGACGCGCGCGATTCGTGTATACCTATTCGCGTATTTGTGGGGGGACGGGAGGGTAGGGTAGGATAGGTAGGGTCGGTGACGGACTGTACGCTGCAGGGACGAGACGCGTATATATAGTACGGACGAAAGACGGGGCACGGGGGGGGG